TCATTTTTTTCAATCTTATAATATTATCCCCTTTTTTGTTGTCGACTTAAGTGTCACATGCACGCTTCACAATTCAAAAGTCTAAACAACCCTTAGAATGTAGAAATAGGACAATTTGATGGGTTGAGTTGGTTACGCTTAAACTTGCTCCTAAAGTTCGCCCCAAAATAAGATCAACAAAACTTGGTCTTAAAGTTTGGGTCCGTATTCGAAGCACCCAGTGCTTATTACTTGATGAGCAATCTGGACTGATTTGGAGAGTGCAGATTTAATATTTTTAAATAATTATTTTAAAATAGAAAAATTATTTTTAAAAAAATAATACGTAAGAGATTATCTTTATTTTTTATTCCATGCCTATTAGAACAATTATTTTAAAAAAAATAAAAATAAAAAAAATTAGATCTGGACCATCCAAATCCGATGAGCATTAAGTACTTATCAGTTTTGATGAGCACCCAATGCAAATTCTTAAAGTTTTGAGCATAAAATACCTGACAAATACTTGCACATCACTAGTCCAAAGTTTAATGTACCTGATTATTGCTACATACTTTGAAAAATGATAAGTTCCACATCATCTGAAATCTTGATATTGATAGGGTTTAAATATTCTTTGAGCACTTTCTATTTACGAGATAGTTTTTGGGCGGGATCCCAAGGCCCAATGTGATATCAGAGCCTTAGTTGTGGGAAAAGATGAAGAGCAGTAAAATGAATGATAAGTCCCACGTCGCCTAAAATCTCAATACCTACAGGGTTTAAGTATCTTACTCACGAGTTAGTTTTTGGGTTGGACTCAAAAGTCCAATAATATGTTGGGATAATTTAAATTACTAATTTACCTAATTATGCATACTCTATTTTGAAATCAAATATGCTGATTAATTAATTATAAGTTAAAGTATATATTTGGTTTTTTATTTTTATATAATGTTTTAGTTTGGTTTTTTAATTTTAAAAAACATATTTTTAGTCTTTTAATCTTAAAATTGTTATCCTTAAATGATGATTTTTTACAATAATCATAGGTATTTTAAAAATTAAATGTAATATGTTAGCATTTAAAAATATTTTATCAATACTTAAAATCTTAATACCATCATTTTTTGTTAACGGTTTTATAATTAAAGAATGAAAAGCACACATTTTAAAATTAATGGGCTAAATTAAACCCTGTATAAAGTCAGATGATAAAAAGTATACTCTAGGCTTAAATTAATTATATGTGTTGAGATCATTTAAATTACTTTTTTTTTTGGGGATTGATCCTGAGACTTATCATCTTGCAACTCCATCGTCATCTCCGTTTTGTTTGACTGAATCCAGTAATGTCACACACACGCACACAAATTAAATATATATTTGTTTATTATCCATTTTTATAAAACATTAAAACTGGTTTATACATAAATTCAACTTTTGTCGTTGACATACGCGTGCTTATTCGTTGGATCATCTATGAAGTCATGAGCTCCACAAATATGTACCTCTCAGCTTAGATACGAGCATGTGAAAGGACGACGTTTTAAATGTATCACTGCTGATAATGTTCCGATCAGGATTCAAGTAGAGTTTATCATAGATGAGTTGAATTTTATAATTCAACCAGAGATTAATTAAAGGCCCTCTCTTTAGCATCATAATAGAAATCACTTATAAACATGTTTTATATGAGTTGAGATAAAACTCTTCTCACATATATATCTCATATTCTATAAATTACGATTGATCCAAATGAGTCCTAATTAGGTTTAAATTAAAAGCCTCCGCTCCGGTTATTAACTAAATGATCATATTGTAAGAGTGGCCACTAGCCACCATGTTTCCTTCAGAAATTGGATAACATAATTTAATAAACAAAAGAAGCACGTGTTTTCTACTCAATGATTTATCTTCAAAACCATAAACATCTTTTTTTTTTTTTTAATTTCACTTAAATTATTTTAAAAATTAATTGCTTGATATATATACACAGAGGATGGATAAATATATTCTAAAGTAAGTGATTCTGAAGTCAATGTTTTGCCACTTCAAATGGAGAGGATTACTTGTTATATTCTCAAATTATTAAAAACTTATTATATTCTAGGAATTGGACCATTTATACTCTTTGTAAAAATCATCAAGAAAAATATTATTCAGAGGTGATTAATCTGTAACTAATTACAGATGACCGTGAAAAGGAGCATGGAATCTTATGCTTCATACCTGTATATAGAAGAGTCAATAATATAAACTTTCTTTTTCGCCAGAATAAATAATCTAAACTAAAATTATGACAACATGATTAAATTGGCAGAAATTACTCCAGCTCAAAACAGACACGTGTCAGGACCAGAATACACAAGTTTGATGATGCGGCACTCTGAAATTTTAGAAGGCACAAGCATTGAGCATTCAACCTCTCCTGTTTTTGTATATATGAAGAAAAATTATAACTCGATTAATCAATATTTATTGTAATTTTAGATCCTCGAATTCAAGCTATAAAGACACGTGACTTATGAGAGCAATATTATAATTTTCTTTTCAGGATGTGATGCTGAGATGGCGTTCTGAAATTACTGCCTTGCCCCTCTTTCTCTTTTTTTCTAGTGAATAAACCCAAACTATCTACTGTTAATAACAGTAACTAATCCAATTGTATTATAAACTTCTTGAAAAGATTTTAGTGTTGGCTACGATCCCTCTTTGATAAGCCCCTCTCTTTTTAGATGCTAGTACTATATAGACATGGACGGGCGAGCAAGGGCATGGACAAAATTTACCTTAACATATTGGGCCTCAATTTACTGGGCCTGTCAATTTTGCAAATTTCAAATTTTCTCAAAAGGGTCGTAGGGTCATTTTGTCAGAATTCTTTGTTTTCTTAAGGGTTAGGCCCAAGTTTTGGAATAAAATTTATAATATCCATTACAGACTCCGAGACGGAGGCTTTTTATTATCATTGTTATTATGCTTACCCTCCTTTGTTTTTATATAAAACCTAATTGACTAAAAATTAATTATTTATAATAAATAGGTATTATCTTTTCTAAAATATTCTTACTAATCAAATATATTGGCTAGAATTACTATTATATAACGACTATCTTGGAAAAACATAAATAAATATGAGAAACAAAGTGAATTGAATCATATATTCAGGACCAAAATAAAATTTAAATAAGTTCTTATATTAAGAATCTGATGTAGTATATGCTTTTAAGCAATGAGTCATAAGCATATTATAAGCATGTTTATGTATATTTGAGCACCTGCTTATCTCATGTTTCGTAATTAAAAAATTATTTTTCAGGGCTCCTACTGCGCCTTAAATAATAGGCTTATATAATAAAATAAACCAAAACAAAAGTACAAAAAGGTTAATATTATTATCACACTTATTGTGGCTTGGAATATATCACCATTAACTATAAATATAAGATCTATTTTATTGTATAATCTAACATCAAGCTACATGACTCCCTCCTTTTCGTTTTTGGCCAACGTCTCCCTCCTTTTGCAAAACTTGTGAAATGAAATGAATAATTATACTCCATAGTAATACCCAAAAAAAAAAAAATCATTCATAATTAATTTTAAAATATAAAAAGCATCTTTTTTGAGGACGCGATGATACATCCATGCCCTTTCCCTTACCTCTCATTCGCCATCAAGTACCAAAATTTCTCCACCTTTTAATTATTACGTCGCTTTCTTATGAAAGCGCATGTTAGATATATTTGTATATTACCATTGATTAGGCATCGTGCTAATAAGTAATAACCCTTCATTTTTTTTTTTCTAAATCAACATTTATATTTGTCATTTTCGTTGATATTTTTGTTGGCATAAAAAAGCGTTTAATATTTTTGTTGGCAAAAAAAAGTGTTTAATATTTTTGAGATACTGATGTCAGCGTGACAGAGATTTATGATAATGGTGCCATTGAGTAAATCCAAAAAAAAAAAGAACTATTATTAAACTTTTCGTTGAACATACAACCAGCAGCATGATTCTAAACTTGCGGATCTCTCATGTTGTTGACGAAATAAATACAATAAAATAAAGTTACTCGTATTATTTTAAATAAAATTTAAATTTAAATTTATCTGGCAAAAATAACATCTTCTGGTGAAAATAACAAATGAGTCCGAACAAAGAAGATAAATAAATGACCAAATGAAAGAGTACACAGGAAAGATAGAGAGCAATTTATGATTTATCAAGTAAAATATATTTAACAGTAAAATTAAAAGGCGGATGAAAAAAATTAATTACATGTTTATTGAGTTCGATAACTTTTAAATTTAAATTAATTAAGTATCATATAAAGGATAACTGTAAAACAAAAGTTAAAAAGAGACAGAGAGAGAAATTTTTCTCCCTCAACAAACATGCTTCTCTAGTAAATGCAATATAAAAACGAAATTAAAATAACTCTCATACGATTAATTATACGAAATTTAAAAACGCAGTATAAAAATGCAATGTTTTATTAATTGTTGACGCATATTAAAATCAACATTTGAAAAATAGAACATTTGTACGAGGGAGTCAAAAGCTGGAATTTTGGGTTGCCTTTTGTACAAAGAAGAAAAATTAAAATCAAACAAGTCAATTTAAAAATAGTATGGCAAAAATCAACTCATAAAATTAAAAAAAAAAAAAAAGTTAAGGTTGATCCCGCTAGGATATACCCGGCATCCAAAAGCTTTCTGAGCGCGTCCAAACACTGAAGTATTTATTTTAAAGTATGTTTAATGCTTTTTTTTGACATTTAATATTTTAAAATATTTTTCAGATATATCTAATATTTTAAAATATTTTTTAGATGGAGTATAAAAATATTTTAATATATTAAATTTGTCTTAAAAATATTTCATAATCTATAAATACCGTCTTATAATGACGCTGAAAGTAGCACTCAATGTACTCGAGTGATCCTAATCTGAGGAAATCTGGTGTTTGCTGAACATAAAAGAAAAAAAAGAAAAAAATAATCTATGTAAAGTTTTAAATCAATTCTCTCTCATGCTCCCGCACTCTGTCTCTCTCGCCCTGCTCCTCTGGTAATAGCTTCCCTGCCACCCCCGTCCTCCACGGAAATCGTCGCTATCTCGCTTTCTGTATGCCTTCAACACTTGACTGGTGAGAAAGACGTCAGTTTGAATGGCGAATCTGAAAGGAGGGACTCGACCGCCATGGGTGGGGCTTGGAGCTGCTGTGTGGATTCAAATAGCTTCTGGAAACGCCTACACCTTCCCTCTGTACTCTCACTCTCTCAGATCTGTTCTGGGTTTTAACCAGCGCCAGATTGCTTTCCTTGGTGTCGCCAACGATATTGGCGAGAACGTTGGCCTCCTTCCTGGTCTTGCCTCCAACAAGTTCCCTCCTTGGCTCATTCTCTCCGTTGGTGCTCTTCTCTCTTTTCTTGGTTATGGCGTTCTCTGGCTTTCTGTTAGTCGCACTGTTCTCTCTCTTCCGTACTCCGTGGTATGTTCATCCTTCTCTTCCCTTCTCTTTCTCTGTTTTCGCTTTTGTCTCTTTCTTCTTCTTCTTCTTACAGTGAGTTGTTTCAAACGTCTCTAATTCGCTTACGCTTTCCACTCATACCATCTGGCTTTGGTTGTCTTCAATTCTGAAGCTTTGCATCTGGGGATTCTCTTGATTCGAATTTCCCCTGCCTAATTTTCTTTAACATACAAGTATTCTAATAACTACCATAAAAACCTTTTACTATCACCCTTACTTCATTAAATAACTTAAACTCTTGGAAATTGTCACCGACAAAGTTTTAAAGTTTCCTACGATCGAATTAAGAGTAAATTATTGTCGCTCTGAAGTTTAGACAATATTTCGTGAATTTGTTCTTAGCTTTCACTTCGAACCCAAAAATCGGTTTTTGTCGTGGATCATGATTAAAGGCTAAAAGCTCTCATGACGTTTTACCTGGCCTGTTTGTTTCTGCGCTGGCAACAAATTATGTTTTTGAACGCAAAACCAGACATTGCATAAGTTTCTAGTAAATGTTAATATTGGGCTCTTCGATAATGGCATGATATGTGGGGGTAACACTTTTTGGAAAAACAATCATGTGAATAAATATCATCCACGTGCTATATTTTTGTTCCAGAAACTGATCATAAATATCGACCAAAACTGCACCAAATTCTAATTTCATATCTTCTTCCATTGACATTTAATTTGCAGTTATGGATTGCTTCAGTTGTTGCCACCAACAGTACTGCATGGTTAACCACAGCTGTTCTTGTCACCAACATGAGAAACTTCCCTGTGAGCAGAGGTTCAGTCGCCGGAATCCTCAAAGGCTATGGAGGGTTAAGTGCTGCAGCTTTCACTGAAATTTACAGCCTAGTCCTTCACAATTCTTCCTCTAAGTTCCTCTTGTTCCTTGCCCTTGGCATTCCTATTACATGTTTCACCTTGATGTTTCTTGTCAGACCTTGCACTCCCGCTTCTGGCGAAGACTCCTCAGAAAATTCCCATTTTGTCTTCATCCAAGCCTCTAGTGTTGTCCTAGGTTTTTACCTTCTTGCAACCACAGTACTTAACGATGTTGTCTCCTTAAGTGATGTAGTGTCCTATGTTCTGATCTTTGTGATGATCCTCCTCCTTATGGCTCCCCTTGCCGTCCCCATAAAGATGACATTGTTTCCCAGAAAATCCATCAAACCAGAGACACCTGGGGCGCAAGTAGGATCTTCAGAGTGTGATGAGAAGTCAGTACCTTTGTTGCTTCCAGCATCTTCGTCTTCAGCAACACTTGGGAGTTTTTATGACAGTGATGAGTCGGCTGAGGTGGCTATGCTTCTTGCTGTGGGAGAAGGGGCAGTGAACAAGAAGAGGAGGAGGCCTAAAAGAGGGGAAGATTTTACATTTCGTGAGGCCGTGATTAAAGCTGATTTTTGGCTTCTGTTTCTGGTTTTCTTTGTTGGTGTAGGAACTGGGGTTACTGTGGTAAATAATCTAGCACAGATTGGGATCGCACAAGGTGTGGAAAAGACCACAATCTTGTTGTCCACTTTTAGCTTCTGCAATTTCGTGGGTCGGCTTGGTGGAGGAGTTGTTTCTGAACATTTTGTCAGGTCAGTTTTCATCACTTAAGTCAGAACTGCAATGGAGAATATCACTTAAAATATTCAAACAGATAAGATCTATGAAACAATGGAGTTTTCATATTGAGCTAAACCATGATAATAGTCTAACTACAGCAAAAACTCATTGTAAAGGCACATAATTCACCCCACACTTTCTTCTGTTGGGGAAAAAACTATCAGAATTAAGTCCTAAGCATTTCAACGTTCCACCTGATTTAGATACTGATCTTTTGAGATTATGTGCAGAACCAAAACAATCCCACGAACAGTGTGGATGACATGCACGCAGATTGTAATGATCATCTCGTACTTGCTGTTTGCATATACTGTGAATGGAACTCTTTATCCTGCAATAGCATTTCTGGGAATCTGCTATGGCGTGCAGTTTTCTGTCATGATTCCTGCAGTTTCTGAGTTATTTGGGCTGAAACACTTTGGTGTTCTTTACAACTTCATGTGCTTGGGAAATCCTCTTGGCGCCTTCCTTTTCTCTGCCCTCTTAGCCGGCCATGTCTACGACGCTGAATCCGCCAAGCAGCATGGTCTGAACCACCTGATGCATGGCTCTATAAGTAAGGCCTGCGTTGGTCCCTCCTGCTTTAAGCTGACCTTTTTGGTTCTGGCTGGTGTGTCCGCTGTAGGCACCTTCTTGAGCATTATTTTGACTTTGAGGGTGAAGCCTGTTTATCAGATGCTTTATTCTGGTGGTTCTTTTAGGCTCCCCCAATCCTCTTCAAGGCATTAAGATGATCTTGAGACTGCTCATACTTTAAGGCCCGCGATATTTACATGGGTCTGATATTTGTACTACTATAAGATGCGGGCGCACACATATATAGCTGAGTCCTTATCAGTGTAATGTAAGTTCAAATTTTTGACACTATGATGCAATTAGGCCCCACCTTTTTTTTTCCCCCCTTTAATTTCATTCATTTGATCTTTTCTGTGAGTGGAATCTAAGTTTCTATTCTCACATGTGGGGATCATCTGATGTTACTTTGTACGCACTAAGCGTTATATAATTTGTACGAGTTTATTATTTGGCGAGTGTAAGTGTGTAACACGTCTGGGGGAGAGTAGCAAAGAAAATGGGGATATATTTGTAATATAAAACAGTTACAGAAGTATACTTTTATAATAAAAATAGGAGGTCAATTTGTTTCGGTTTTATAATCAAACTGAATTAGTCGATTGCTCACCCTGGGTTATTGCATGTTTTCGTTAACATAATCATGCGTAGATTTTGCATTTATAGTATGACAGGATGCACTAAACCAGTCAACAAAAATTGATCCAATTAATGGGGATTTTATTAGTGGGTGAAGTATCGTTATAAGTATTTTTTAAACTTGGAGGCATTTTTTATTTGGCTAAAATATAGAGATTCTCTTATTAGAGGTATTATTAGGCACTAAATGTGGATACTTTTTCTAATAAGGATTCGAATTTTGATTCTTCATCTTGTAAGGGACTAGTTTTTTCTGTCAGATTTAACTCATGTTATAAGGCTTTTTTTTTTTTTTGCTAAAGCATAGGTATCCTCCTATTGGAGATAATCCTATTCAAAGTACTTTCGGGCACTAAATGTGAGCACCTCTCTCAATGAGAATTCAAACCTTGGTTTATCATGTTGTGAGAAACAAGTTCTTTCTGTTAGACTCAACTCTGTTAGTATTATAAGGCATGTTTTGATCTTAGTAAAGTTGGCACCCACCTCACTTAAATTTTTTTGGGTATCAAAAGGAAAAAGATGCCCTAAAGCCCATTGGGTTATCAACCCCCGCATTGGAAGCCCAGTTAATCCCAGGCTCCTTCTGATCCCATCCAAACAACTTATCAGATTTACGACTCTTTAGAAAAAATGGAGTGGGCGGTGCCGGTGATGTGATTGCAAAACCAATCTTAAATCATATGACGCGTCTCTCTATTTAAGCCATCCTGCCATTGTGGCGGTTAAAATGGGGGCTCTGTTTGGAAACACGTTAGTGCCGATGTCTTGTCAAACAGACACCTACAGAATTGAATTCAGGTTTCACGGGATAACAACTTGGTACAGCTAATTTAAAAATATTTAAAAATCAGTTAAACTAGTTATTTATAATAAATATATATTAATTTTTATAAATTGTTTTATTTAATCATATATATCAGTATTATTTTTTAGTAAGAATCCCTTATAATTGATACAAATATGTTGAGAAAAATTATAAATTTAAAAAATAAAGTGGACTGAAATTTTCTTCATAAAAAAAATAGATTAAAATTTTATATTTAAGATCAACTCTAATTTTTAATAGTTTAACTAATTTTTATAAAACAACAAGCCTTATCCCACTAGGTGGGGTCGGCTACATGAATCACACGACGCCATCGTGCTCTGTCAACAAAGTTTAACTAATTCTTATATTAAAAATAAAATGTAGTTTTTTTAATTTTTTATGTTTAATAGCTTGTAATTTTAATATATTTAAAATCTAAAATAAAAATAAAATGAACATGCATATTATGACAAGAGACCAGACAATCATCTGTAAATCGTAATTAAATTTATTTTTTATTTTTTATCCTCTGTGCATGATGCATGCACCTCTGATTTTCCTTCCCCTTTTGTGGGCTAAAAAGAAAAGAAGGCAACAATAGCCATTAAATACGGTACGGGCAGAAAAGCCCGGGGGTAGAGAGAGAATGGAAAGGGAAATTTGATGAAATATAAAGTGGACGGCACACAAAAGATTATTATATTAATCATTTGGATTATGATCTAGTTGATCAATATCTAATTAATTTGTAATATTTAATTGAAGGGATCCGTATCGGATCAAGACTCTACATATGTATGTTTCTGAATTTGATTAAACTTGTCATTTCATTACCAAGTCCCTGGTTATTAGCGATCAATTGCTGAGTATGACTGTAATGGACTAAAGTCGCATATCAGTCTCTGGCTCCAATTAAAAAGCTCAGCTTTCCCTCCCTCCCTCGTCTTCTCCGATCTTCCTCTTCTTAAGACTAGCTTCCCTAGTCCCCACTGCCTAAGTTCTTTACGAAAAGAGGAAAGGTGTCCAGGATATATATATATATATATATATATCTTCATTGAACTCTTCGCCTGAAAAGCATGACTCGATCGGGGAAGGAAAGCGAGGCCGTGAGTGAAGTGGCTGATCTGAAAGTAGGGACTCGGCCGCCATGGGTGGGCCTTGGAGCTGCTGTGTGGTTTCAAATATCTTCTGGAAATTCCTACGGCTTCCCTCTGTACTCTCATTCTCTCAGATCGGTTCTGGGTTTTAACCAGCGCCAGATTGCCTTCCTCGGCGTCGCCAACGACATTGGTGAGAACGTTGGTGTTCTTCCTGGTCTCGCCTCCAACAAGCTTCCTCCTTGGCTTATTCTCTCTGTCGGTGCTCTTCTCTCTTTTCTTGGCTATGGCGTTCTCTGGCTCTCTGTTAGTCGCACTCTTCCCTCTCTTCCTTACTGGTTGGTATGTCCACCATTCTCTTCTCTTTCTACTTCTTCTTCTTCTTGTTAATTCTTACTGCGGCGAGTTGATTCAAACGTCTTCGACCTTTCATTCGCACCATCTGGCTTTGGTTGTCTTCAATTTTTAAGCTTTGCATCTTTGGCTGCTTGATTTGGATTTTCTCTGCCTATTTACCTTTGAGACTTTTTTTCTTAAAAGAAAGAATCTAAAACCCGTCTTTGAAAGATACACTCTCTTATTGCTTAGTCTCTAAAATTAGGCATAAACTAAATGCATTAGCCTTTTCTGTTGGATCAAATTACTTATCTACGCTTCTTTGAGTGCATAATTCCACCTTAGCCTTCCATGTATTGGTTTAAGCCCAATTTTGATGTTTTCATATTGTCATTGATGACCGTAAAAGCAATTTGTCACTCTTACTTCATTATATAACTAAAACTTTTGAAATTATCACCGATATAATTCTAGAGTTTCTTATGATCACTGGAGGAGTTAATTCTTGTCTCTCTTATTCTTACTAGTTTGTACACGAAATTTAATGCCTTAGCTTTCACTTCGGGATCATAAAGGTTGTTTTGTGATGGACTATGACAATGGCTTTCATGGCCTTTCACTTGAAAGTGTGTGCTTTATTTATTTCTGTGTTGGCGTGGTCCTAAATCGCGTTTGCAATGCAAAACCACCTTTGGCAGCAAAGTTATGTTTATAATGCAAAATTATGCACTGCATAAGTTTCTAGTAAGTGTTGATATTGGGCTCTTCGATAATGGCATAAAATGTGGGGGTTAACTCTTTTTAGGAAAGAAATAATGTGATGCTAAGCTAAAAAACATAAGTAATATGCTCATGTTATATTTCTGTTCCATAAACTAATCATAAATATCTACGAAAACGGCATCAGGTTTTGTCCAATTTCAAAATGGATTTAGCTAGCTCATACATAGTTCTAATTTCTTATCTTCTTCCATTGATATTTAAAACGCAGTTATGGATTGCTTCAGTTGTGGCCACCAACGGTAGTACATGGTTAAGCACCCCGGTTCTTGTCACCAACATGAGAAACTTCCCTGCAAGCAGAGGCACAGTCGCCGGAATCCTCAAAGGCTATCTAGGCTTAAGTGCTACAGTTTTCACTGAAGTCTACAGCTTAGTCCTTCACAGTTCTTCTTCCAAGTTCCTCTTGTTCCTTGCCCTTGGCATTCCTATTACATGTTTTGCCTTGATGTTTCTCGTCAGGCCTTGCACTCCTGCTTCTGGCGATGACCCCTCAGAAAATGGCCATTTCGTCTTCATCCAAGCCTCTAGTGTTGTCCTAGGTTTATACCTTCTCGCGACCACAGTAATTGGAGATGTTGTATCCTTCAGTGGTGTGGCATCCTATGCTTCAGTCTTTGTGATGATCCTCCTCCTAATGGCTCCTCTTGCTGTCCCCATAAAGATGACATTATTTCCCAGAAAATCCATCAAACCTGATGTACAAGAACGATCTTCAGAGCGTGATGATAAGTCAGAACCTTTGTTGTTTCCGGTATCTTCATCGTCAGGAACACTTGGGAGTTTTTATGACGATGATTCATCTGAGGTGGCTATGCTTCTTGCTGTGGGTGAAGGGGCAGTGAATAAGAAGAGGAGGAGGCCTAAAAGAGGCGAAGATTTTACATTTCGGGAGGCAGTGATTAAAGCTGATTTTTGGCTTCTGTTTCTGGTTTTCTTTGTTGGTGTAGGAACTGGGGTTACGGTAGTAAATAATCTAGCACAGATTGGTATCGCACAAGGTGTGGAAAATACCACAATCTTGTTGTCCACTTTTGGCTTCTGCAATTTCGTGGGTCGGCTTGGTGGAGGAGTTGTTTCTGAACATTTTGTCAGGTCAGTTACATATTATATATGGGCACACTTGAGAAATTACAGTCAGAACTGCAATGAGGAATATACTTAAAATAATCACATGGATAAAATCTACGAAACAGTGAAGATTTCATATTGAGCTTGACCTTGATATAATAGTCTAACGACGGGCTAAAAAACTTGCTGTAAAGGCACACAACTCACCCACTGTTTAGTCTGCTGTGGAAACTACCAGAATTAAGTTTTATGCATTTCAACGTTCCGCCAGATTTAGATACTGATCTTTTGATATTATGTGCAGAACAAAAACAATCCCACGAACAGTGTGGATGACATGCACACAGATAATAATGATCATCTCGTACATGCTGTTTGCATATGCTGTGAATGGAACTCTTTATCCTGCAATAGCATTTCTCGGAATCTGCTATGGCGTGCAATTTTCTGTAATGATTCCTACTGTTTCTGAGTTATTTGGCCTGAAAAACTTTGGCGTTCTCTACAACTTCTTGTGCTTGGGGAACCCTCTTGGCGCCTTCCTTTTCTCTGCCCTCTTAGCCGGCCATGTCTACGATTCTGAAGCAGCCAAGCAGCATGGTCTGAGCCACCTGGTGCACGACACTATAACTAAGGCCTGCGTTGGTCCCTCCTGCTTTAAGCTGACTTTTTTTTTTGGCTGGTGTGTCTGCTGTGGGCACCTTCTTGAGCATTATTTTGACTTTGAGGGTGAAGCCTGTTTATCAGATGCTTTATGCTGGTGGTTCTTTTAGGCTTCCCCAATCCTCTTCAAGCCACGCCATGTCTACGATTCTGAAGCAGCCAGCAGCATGGTCTGAGCCACCTGGTGCACGACACTATAACTAAGGCCTGCGTTGGTCCCTCCTGCTTTAAGCTGACTTTTTTTGGTTTTGGCTGTGTTTCTGCTGTGGTGCACCTTCTTGAGCATTATTTTGACTTCGAGGGTGAAGCCTGTTTATCAGATGCTTTATGCTGGTGGTTCTTTTAGGCTTCCCCAATCCCTCTTCAAGCCATTAAAAATGATCCTAATCTTTGAGACTAGTAATACTTGAAGGCCTGTGATATTTATATGGGTCTGATATTTGTATTACTATAACATGCATATATAGCTGAGCATCAACTTTAGGCGATCACAAATTTGAGTGGTATCTGAGTAACCTATGCCTTTCGGTGTAATGCAGGTTCATAATTTGGTATTTTAATGTGAGAATAATGCTTATTTGGGTATGAATGTTCCGCTGAAAATTGTATTAGCAGTTCTCAGTTCTCTATCGCTGTCTGCTGACTTGAGCTCAGTCATTATGAGAGATCTCAACACTATCATGCAGCTACGTCCCATCTTTTATTCCCCTCATTCGATCTCGTGTACGACGGCTAGTAATCCATTGGTACTTATACAAGGAAAAAAAAACTATTGTTTTTTCCTTACGTAGTATTTTTATTTGCTTATATCTCAATTTATACGCAACTCAGTCCAGACAGTCCTTATAATTATAATTTCATTTTAACTAAGTTTTACATTTAACTATAGTTTAACCATTTAAAAAATTAGTCTTTATATTTTAAAAAAATAAAATTATATATTTTATGATAGATTGAGTTGTATTAGGTTAGAGTTTTCTTTCTTTTTTTTTGGGGTCAAAAGTATTAGGTTAGAGTTTAAGGATTGACTTATAACAGAATTAAATTGAAGTTTCAAGATATTAAGTTTTCCTGTATACAACGCAATCCTTATTTAATTTGCATGACATATGAGAGTGAGTGACGCATTTGGCTGAAAGTAGAAAGAACATGATATATTGAATCACTCGTCTCATGAACCTTGGATTATGTCGCAAGCTAAGCCGAGTAAAAACCGAAAAGATGTTTCAGACTTTCGGCATACATATATACATGAATTGGCCGTAGAACCCAGAGAGATTAAGAAGATAAGCAAAAATTCTGCAGGGAGATTAAGAAAGCAAAAAACTCTGAGACACACTTGATCACCTTCTACATATATTAATAAACTACATAGCTAATGGCTAGCACTCGCCATTAAAGAGCAAACCAGGAAGATTAGTGCCGAAACCACAACACAGGAAAAAAATTCAAGTTGGTTTCAGATCTTGAAACATTGTGAGCCACTGGTGTGTTTTCATCATCATCATAATCCTGCTCAGATTTTGCATTTTTCTTTTGATAACATGGACTGAAGCCCATTGGGCTATCAGTCACTACATCCGCAGCCCAATTAGGCCTCGGACTCCTACTGCCTGGCAATGGAAGCCCTGATAACCTTGGGCTCATTGCTGAGCCCATCAACCTCCCATGATCCACGGGCCTGGGCACCATCGGGCTTCGACTGGGGTGAATCATCCTCCCATCAAGAGGGCCAGATAACTTCAACACCTTGTTATTGGTAATTACCTTCTCATGCACTCGTCCATCAAGAGGCCCAGAAAATTCCAGGCTTCTGGTTCTGTAGGGTGTACCCATGGGTTTGGGCTTTTCCTCCTTCAGCGACCCTCTCCTTTGGACCAGCCAATTGGTCTCACAAGGAATCTCCTTCCCGGCCTCATCACGAGACACAACGAGCTTCTTCACACATTTCCTCCAACACTTCTTGACCACCTGAGAGAGCTTCTTGTTGGCTCCATTGTCCTTCTTGGCAAGCTTGAGGATCTCCAGCCTGTGCTTGGCGACGGAGATTCCCATGCTCTGGAGGAACTCGTGGTCGAAGAAGACGGCATCTCCGGGCTCAAGCTCGTTGCGGGCGAATGTCACGCCATAGTCGTAAGTGAGGGAAGGATGAAGATTGGTTCGAGAGAGCCAGGAAAACCAGTCCATAGATGAAGGAGAAATTGAAATGCGGAGAATACTAGGCGATATTTATAAAGGAGACGTGACACGTGAAGAGAAAGTAAAAAATGTTATAGGCCTTACGGTAAGTTAGCCATTTTGTTGAATGGAGAGAAATGTTGAAGGAGAAGAAGCTAAGATATGAAGTGGAAGTTATTCTGAGAACAAGACCGGTGAGTAGGACGGCTATATAAGGGGATAACATATGGTGGAAGGTATGAGATTGAGAGAGAGAGGGTGAAGCTAAGGAAAAGGTAAAATTAAGAAGTGGGGTTAAAAGAAAGAAAAAGGGGAAAAAGTGGTTAGAGCCAAATCAATTTGGAAACCTACTTCCCGTTTTATATATCATAAAATCCAAAAATATGACCCCTTTTCATGTCTATCCTTGTTCTCCACTAAGTCATATAGTTACCAGTCTCACACCCTTTTCTCAAGTTCTCTCTCCTCTCTCTCTTTTTCTGGGCCTTGCCCTTTTCTCAGGTTGTCAGCTTTAATTTCTCTTGTTTCACTAATTACATTGTTATGGATTATTGCAGATTAAATAAATGACTCAAAGGAAATATAATGAGTTGGACAGGAAGGGTGGCCGGAGACTTTAATTGAGCTCTGAAACGTATAATGAAATTTGGAAGGTGATTCCCGCTATATTTATAATTTCATCCAACCACAATAAATGTTGATGAGCTATTTTTCAGTTCATTATTTTGGTTTATTTACAGGAAAATAAGTGAAAATGTGGCTAATTAAGTACGTGACATCATATCATATTCATTTTAACTACAAGCTAATAAAGAGATTTTCCAGTTACTGCAATGAGAAAGTTGTGATTGAAAGATAATTATCATAATACTACCTTCCGTTTTTAATATAAGAGTTAGTTGATTAATTTGAATAGATTAAGAAAATCAGTTAAATTAGTTATTTGTAATAAATAGATATTGTATTTTTTAAAATATCCTTACTAATCATGTGTATTAGTTAAAACTACCATTTGATGAAAAATTTAACATGTGTAATTACTATAAAGACTATCTTAAAAAAATAAAAAAAAATGAGAAATAAAATAAATTAAGATCTTATATTTAAGACTAAATTAAAAATTAAATTAACTCTTATATTAAGGATTAAAAAAATAATAGATATTGCTTTTTAGATAACAAAAATTGAATAAGGTTGGTAAAAATATTACTGAATAAAAATATCTGAAACATGCGATTTATTAGTAGTTGTTGTGGTACCATTATACAGCTCAACCTCTAGCCATAGTCGGCCTTAATTTCTGCTTCAACTAAAAATTTTATGCCCCATCTTCTTCAACTATCCGTATATATTAATTATTTGAGTAAAATACTCTAACTTCTTTTATATTTTGTCTTAATTATACAGACTTTTTTTTTTATTTTGAAAACATACACTTAAATCCAAACTATTAATTCTGTTAAGAATATTTCAAAAAGATATTTTTTTATTCAAATTTATATTAAAAATACTTTCTATTTGCAAAATTACCCTCCATAGTAGTAAGTCCTAAAATTTTGGTTAATCGCAGAATTTAAGATTTTCTCATTTACCTTAATTTTATTTTTTTATTTTTGAAAATTATTGTTTGTTTAATGTTTTCATCATAGTGGGCCAAAAAATTAAGTAATTTAGTTACTGCAAACATAAATTTAAATGATTTATATAAGTTTCCAAACTCGCATAATTTATATTATGTGATAAGAAAATAAGCATTCAAACTATTTTCTAGTCATTTTTAAAAAAAATCTTAAGTTTCAATATTTCATGAGGAACTAAAATTATATAATTGTATAATATAATTGAAATTAAAATTTTATAACATTAAAAATTTTGAAAATACATGTATTATAGTTATTTTTGTTGTATCAAAAAATTTTTTTTATAGATGTAAATGTTTAAATAACATTTATGTTAAAGAAGGATATTTTGATCAAAATAAAAATTTAAAAGTCAAATTTAATGGTTAATTAACGATTGAATGGATGGATGGAAATTGAATCTTAAAAATATAAGAGAGGTTTGTATAACATATATTTTAATTTGAAAGGAAGTTTATATACGTTTTTAAAATAGAAAGGAGGTTTCTGTAATTTAAGTAAAATAGAGAGGTGGTCAATGTATTTTACTCTTTTAATTTTCATCGCCCGGAATACTTTAATGTTAAATTCATTGTTTGCTGCTACTTTATGTGACTTTGTAATTTTGTAATAAATTTGTAATTAATTAATGGTAGTTAGATTGAATGAAAGTTGCTCACTCAGTTTCCATAAAACAGGTCGAAAATTTGAAACTTGTATGTGGAAAAATAAATCATGCCACGGGTGCTAAGTTAGTTTCATACTTTTATTTGAACTCAAGAAAGTTTGATGTCGAATTAATTGTTAATTTCTTAAAAAATTATTTATCGCCACGCAATCCTCATGCATGAAATTAAAATTTAAAACAGACAGATTTAGATTCCCTTAGATTTACGAAATATTATCGCATCTCTCAAGTATATTTAACTACGTTAGAGGGGAGGGGATAAGGAGTAAAAATAATAATAAAATTTAATTAAAATATAAAATCATATTATTGATGGGTGATAAACTTATTGAAATTTTTATATTATAGAATAGATGGGAATTAAATCACTTTGGTGGCTATATACATATACGTGTGTGTGTGTGTGTGTGTGTGTGTGCAGGTTTTAGAGGCACCCTGTCGGTGAGCCTTTTATGACGCCTCCAAATTTGTTGTTTTCTTTTCTTTTGTTTGTTTTTTTTTTTTTCCCACCTCGAGTGATTCCTGTCAAACCATTGGGCCTAAAATGATTATTTTGGTAAATTAAAATTAAGCTGAATACAATCTACATATTATTCAAATGTAACGATAAAGATCCAAAATATCATTTTGAGCAGCAACCTAACACATTCAGAGTCATAATAATAAAATAACTCGAGCATGAGATTTCATTCCAATGAAGCAGGGGGCATTAAATTTGTCCAAAAATTTTCCCTCATGTGCTTTGAGCACCCAGAAAATTTTTTTTCCTTGTAAAAATTTACTCAAAAATTTAAAATCATAATAATATTATTCTTATTATTAAAAAACTAACGTTGGTCATTAATACTTTTAATGATAGGTAATAAACTTGTTATGAATTTAAATTTTTGAAATAAATTTGTACTTAAGAAACTTTCAAGTGCCCACTCCTGACTGAAATTTTTTTCAGCAAATTCGCATCTTATCTTTTTTTTTCAAAGACTTTTCTTTTAGTATCGAGTACTAAATATAAATACCTCTTATAATTCAAATCTTAATTCATTATGCCATAAGAAACTAATATTTTTTATGGTAGCTATAATATTGAAAAAATTTACTTGGGTAGAGTCAAGAGCATTTGACTATGTCGTGGGAGACTCTTGAAGCTTAGTTTTGGACTTTGGGGCATTATCTGGGCACTGAGGAGCTAAGTCTGGGTAAGTCTGATCTGAAGGAAAATTCGGCCCACATATTAAAAGTCTCGTTATTAAAAAAAAAAAAAGTGAAAAGGGCAAGCTAAGTGGCTATGGCGTCTCTGAAAATGAGATCAAGGCATACCCACTTACAAAAGCTTAGTGGCAATAATCCTAACTCTTGCTTGATATTCGGGTGATCTCAACTACTCGGTTTTTGTCAATAATCTTAGTGGTACCAAAGCTTGTCATAAATAAAAATTCGGATTTAATCTCACTTATAATATTAAATCGTCAGTATTCACTTTTTTAGTTTAAAATTTATTCTTTGAACTTGTTCACCTGACTGTATTTTATCATCCTTCTTTCATTCTTTACAATCCCTTTTTTCTTAAAAAAAAATTATTATATTGCCACATTATAGGTGAAATACAGTAAACCTTTTAAACGTTTTTCTTCTATTTTTATTGGAAGTTGAAAATATGGAAGGTGAAATTTAAAGAAGCTTACGTGTTTAACATTTTATACGAATACTCAATGTATTCTTTAATCTTCTTGTAAATATAAAGTCTAAATTTGATAGTTAAATTTTCATATACAAAGTTCAAAGTTTACATGCAAAGTAAAACTAAAAATACAATCCGGCACATATATGTCATAAAATGTATTGTGTGTGATGAAGAGTTTGAGTGATAAAAGACGAAGAGGAAATGGAACGAGAGGTGAAGTGGCGTAGGAGTGTAGTTTTGTTTTTTTTTTTTTTTTTGGGGGGGGGGGGAACTTAGATGGGCAATGAGTTAGCATTGGGCCATCAGAATAAAAAATTTAACAAAATCAATTAAAATAAATTTTGTAAAAACACTTATAGGCTACCTCGAGCCTGGCCTATTTTTTTGAGGATTTTTATATTTGGGAGTGAATATTATTTTTTCCCCATTTCTCCCCTCATTTTTCAAATTCAATTATGTTAAAAAAAAAAAAGGGGCTAGCCTTATGAGTCCCAGATATTGAATTATCCAAATATTTGTCTATGGCCAAGATAATCATGGATTTGAAAATGAATTTGTACTAAATAAATTTTTTTTAAAGATATTCCCTCTGATTTCATATATAAAAGAGAAGGCATATATTTAATAAAAAATAAAAAATAGTTTAACTTTTTTTAAAAAAATATTTAAGTTTAAAAACAATCATGTGTGCGAACGATTTTCTTATAGGGTTAATACTATTTTTCGCTCTGTAAGTTTGTTTTCACTTTGATTTTAGTATTTTAAATTTCAAATCATAAGTTTTAGTTAAGTTTTTTTTAATCTAAAATATTAGTTTTCATAATTTAATAAAAATATATACTATTTTTCCTCTTGAAAGATCAAACTTATAATTTATAACTTGAAGAACTGAAACCAAAATGAATGTAAACTTGAGGAACCAAAAATTATATTAACCATATATAAAATCGAAATAATATTTTTGTGGGAGAATTATAATGAAGTTTCAATTAAGGAATATCATTAATAAAATATCTCAATAATAACACAGCAGAGAAGTTAACAAAAAGTAAAAGACAATTGTTCAATCATCGAAATTTATTAGTATTTATTTATTTTTATTGGGGGTTCCTTATGATTCTCCCCATTTTTGTTGCCAACAATTCTTTCAATTATACTCTTCTGATCCTTAATATAAAGTATATTTAACTAATTTGATTAGATTGAGGAAATTAGGTTTAGTTAATTATAAGAAATATGACATGTTTTTTCTAAAACACCATAATCGTCTTTCTTAATATCCTCTCTTCTTTTTATATTTGATTATAGTTGAGGGAGTATCTATAGAGATAATTTAGAAATAATTGATAAATATGAGAAATAAATTTTATATTTAAGATCAAAATTAACTTAACAATTAGATACTATGGGTTAAGAAGTAGAGGGTTATTAATTAAAGTTGCTTCATGCTTCGTTAGCAAGAAAAGCCTCCACAAAATTGTCATGTTGATATTTTTCCCCTGGATCCTTTTCGCAGCCTATATAAGGATCGAGACATCGGGGAATAATCGGAATCATCGGTTCTTCACAGTTGCCTTAGTCCAATTTACACTCTGCGTAGTTCCTCTATCAAAATTCTGTGTGCTTTGTGATGGCGAAGTTGAAGATTGCCGGCACATGGGCAGGAGTGTTAGAGGTTGAACTCGAGACTTGGACGCTACCCATGTTGAGGGAAGAAATCGCCAAGCGATCCAACTGCGGCGTAGACTCCATCAATTTGATATGTGCTGGAAAAATTTTGAAAGACAGTGATGGGCAAGAGAAATTGAGCAAACTGGGTATCAAAAATAACGCCAAAATTCTTGCGAGTCGTATCAGTGCTGAAGAAGGCAGGGCTTTGATGGCCGAGGAGGAGCGGACTCGCAGACTTTCCCGAGTCAAGTACATGACTAATTTTGATTTCATTCCTTCGCTTTCACTTTTGATGGAACACATTTTTTATTCGCTCAATTTGTGGAACAAAGGCTCCAACTATGTGCACTTGGATTTCGTTGACTTCCCTATCCTTTTGCTGACTTCTAGCTTGTCGAAAACTAGTGTGCTCCGAAGATTTCATTGATCAAGTGGTTTTAATGTTTCTCATTTTGTTTAACTGTGCAATTATCGCCAATTTGACTGCGATCGTGTCTTCAAAGGAATGTATTAATTGAGACACTGCCCAGTGCTGCCTAGAAATTATATAAAGAATTGTTTTCTGTTGGTTGGGTTTGTGAAGTTTCACTGTTTGTTCTGGAATTTCATTTAAATTTGTATCAAATGTGTTCTGTTAGGAGTGGTCCAGGACTTCAATGTAAAGGTTACGGTGGCATAGGCTAATGGTTTTGGCTTTTGATTAGCAAAATTTTCTCCTTTAATTTTATCCATTAGCTCATTCTCATCTTTAATATCTGTGGCTGACTTGCATATGTTTTAAACAGGACAGCTGCCACAGCACTCGCCAAAAGGCATGCTGATGGCTCATTACCTATGGAAGACTTCAACATAGAAGTTGAAGATCAAAGCGGGCAAAAAGTGCAGTTGGGTTCTGAGACGGATCAGAGGTATGCAATATGGACCTGTGACATTTGAGGAAATTCATTTAGATGAAACTAGTTGTTTGAGGACTTCAGATTCTGTTTTACATTTAATTATCAAAATAAGGGTCAAGCCGTCATTTGGCAGGGCAGTAATGATGGGACTGATGCTTCATGCAAACGGAAAACGTCTAATCAGACAGAAAAACTACAATGATGCTTTAGAAGTGCTCTCTATGGGCGAGGTCAGTTCCTGATGAAATTAACTGATGCGTGTTAATTCCTTTTCTGTTTATCATTTAATAATCCAAAGAACACTTGACTTCTTTGGCAGGAGGCATTCTCTCTTTGTGATCCAAAGGTCATTGAGGTGAGCAGCGCAATTTTTATCCTTTTTATGTGCCAAGTCATGGCATGATAGGGTTATATTTGATGGAAGTCAATATTGAGCTTTTCCTTGCTGAAGTGTTTGTTGTAAACATGCTTCTTGCAGTGAAAGATGTTGACTATGTAGGAATTAATTTACTATACTCGGAATTAAATAAGAAAATGTGCTTATCTGAAACTGCCCCTTTTTTTTCAAAAGGAAGTTTGTTATGCTGCAATGCAAAAGTTTTTGCAATAAGGTCTGATAACATGTTTCTCAGGTCTCGCTTCTTTGTTACTGCTTTTACTTTGCTCTTCCAAGGTTATTAAATTCATTTGAGCTTTCCTCTTGGTTGGCTTTTCTTCAAGAACAATTTCCTACAATATTTTGTTCTCTGGATCTGAAATATTTTTGCCTCTCTGTCTGTTCAGCTTGTTGACAATGTTCCAATACTGCAAATAGACATGGTCTGGTGCTACTTTATGATCCGAGACATCAGATGGCTATCAGAGGCTGGAAAGCGTCTTGAAATGGCTAGGACTGGAATTGAGCGTGCTCATGGAAAGAATTCCCAGCGCCTTAGACTTCTACAGGGAGGTCGCTATCCTGAACTTGCATTGTAAGTAGTTTGTGTGTACTGTTTAGTTTCTTGCTTCTTAGAAATGTTCAAAATATTCTTGTGCTACAGCATGGCGTAGATTAATTTCGTGCACCATGTAATAGGCATTTGCGACTAGAGCTACTTGAAGGGGTGGTGGCTTATCATAGTGGTAAGCTGGATAAAGCAAGAGATGCATTGACTTCTGCAAAAGCAAAATTCACCCAGGTAAGCTGAGCTATCATATCATATTTTGAGAAATTATGAGTCAAAAACAGTGATATCACATCTTACAAAACCATTTTTCTTTTTCCTGTGTCCTTGTCTAATTAACATTATAATTGGTTATAGTCTGCCTTCAGATTTTTGGATTTTAAGATGTCCAAGTTTTTCCCCTTATCTAGCTAAATCTCTTTAGAACAAGCTATCATATTTGGTCCTTGAAAGAGACCGTCCTCATCAATATAATCCTTAAAGTTTATTGACATCATTTTGTCCTAATATTTTCTAAAAATATCAATTTTAGTCTTGAGTTGTGAGTAAATTGATGTTGTTACAATCTCGGGGATTAAATTGATATCAGTAAGCTTTCAGGGAGTAGATGTCATTGAAATCTTTCACGGAATAATATTATATCTAACTCATCTTTTAATAATACATTTCTTTTCTCTCTCATCCTGGAAATAAACTGATGCATTTTTCAGCTGCAAGTGCCAGATGAAGCCTTGTCATTTCTTATGAACATGGGATTCAAAGAGCGTGACATAAAGAGAGCACTAAGGATGAACAATCAAGATGTGGGAGGTGCCATTGATTTTCTTGAGGAGGAGAAGGCAAAGAAATGGCAAAAACGGGAAGAAGACATAAGGAGAAGGAATGAAATCAGGTGAGTGAGATGATGGTTACTGACCGACGACGTTTATTCTCTATGATGTATCATTGCTTATTATCATTCCCCCTTGTGGCACCTCTGAGAAAATAAAAATGCAGGGAACAGAAGCGTTATGGGTTGACACCCTTAAAGAAAGCTGTGGATCTGCAGAAGTTGAAGGATTTGGTCTCTCTGGGGTGAGTACTAAGTTAATCTTGCTTTGATCGTTTTAAAGACATTAAAAAAACCGATCCTATAAGTCTTCACTTAACAACTAAGCTTTTCTTATGAGTCCCATGTTGGGAAATCTTACAAATGTTGTGGGGTTTATAAGTTTAAGAGGTTCTCCCTCCTAATAGATTAGTCTTTTGGGATTGGGCTTTCTCCTTAGGCTTATGCTCATCATATTGGTGCTTTCGTTGAGAGTCAGCCAACTGAGAAAGGGTTACCTGCAGAGGGTTCTGACCGGTAAGAAGACCGCGTGAAGTGTTGTAAAGTGGAGCTGCCGGGGACGTCAGCTCTCAAGAGGAGTACACTGTTATGAGTTTCACATTGAGAAATCTCACAAATCTTGTGGGGTTTATAAGTTCAAGGGATTCTCCCTTCCAATAGGCTAGTGTTTTGGGATTGGGCTTTCCCCTTGGGCTTATGCTCATCACATCTTTAAGGACGAAATGATTATTGACATGACTTTAAGGCCTTTATGACCATGTCGTTGAAGGCTTGATCTTCATAGAAGGAATATAGCAGAGATTTGAATAAAACCAATACCTTAACTTGCACAACTTACAGCTTTTTCATTGTAAATTTAGAGTAAATTAGTTTGACGTCTAGAGAGGTGCTAAACCTAAACTCATCTCTTAGTCTTGTTTCAAAATTACACTAATATCTTCTATCCGAAACCTTCATCAACAATTTGTCCCTCGTAAGTTAGTCCGGACAAAATGACCCATATACTTGACGTGAAAAATCCAAGTCAGAGGATGCACGTAATCTCTAAAACCGTAGGGGATTTGAATTTAAGTTAGGCAAATATAAAGCAACCAAGTGTAGTTTACTTATTAGCATGTTTTTCTTGTGACAAAAGCGTCGCATTATGTTTTTTTGGCTAATTATTGCTGACATGTTCTATCAATAAGAATGCTATTCCACAGAATTTCCTTATTGAACTAATCTAGCTCTATGCTTCTGGTTGTGGAAGATTTGAGAAGGAACTTGCTGCTGAAGCCCTTCGAAGAAATGAAAATGATTTTGACAAGGCATTGAATGATTTGACAAATCCAGAAACTAATTCTGCCATACAGGTCAGTATCTATATGTCTCTGCATGTTATAACTTCAAACAGTTCAGCTAATTACTCTCATCAATATGAAGGTTCACATCGAGACAAGGAAAACAAAACGGCTGAAGCAAGCAAAAGAGTCTCAAATTGAAAATTTTGTCCGCATGGGGTTTGAAAGATCAAGAGGTACTAAAGGTCTTGAGCTCCTGAGAATGGGCATGATATATAAATGTTGTAGCAGGTTCTGATATTGCTTTCTTGTTGGCAGTGGTATCTGCCGTCGAGGCTGGTGGCACTTTGGATCAAATAATGCAAACACTGACTGCGCAACCCGAGGAAAACATGCAAATCGAAGCAAGTTCAACTGCGAACACTGCAAGTTCTGCTCCCTCGTCAGATAACATGGATTCTAACGTTCCAGGCCTATCCGAGGATGTTGAAGGTCTATCAGAAGATTTCAGCAAAGCAGAGGAGCGGGATGTGGAAATGGAAGATGAGCTTTCTGCAGATATAGCAAAAGCTGACGCGTTGGCTGACTATGATATCGAAGTTAATATAGAAGGGGAAGCCATAACAGAATATCTGTCTCTGTTGGAGTCAGCAGGCAGCAGCAGTGGGCAAAAGTTGCCTTCTCAGTAAGAAGATGGCTATGAAGAATAATTCTTGTAGATATAAGATGGGTTAAATATGCGTCTCTCTCTTTCTTGTAGGGACAATGTCATCTTTATGTGGTTCCAATTAACTTGCTTTATGGGGATGCTTCATCTGAAAAAAAATGAATATTTGGGGATGCATGGAACTTAAATTTTCGGTGATAATATAACTTTAACTATACTCCCCCTTGCCACCTTCTCCGAGGAGCAGTGTAGTTTGACAATGGCTTTAATTTCAAATATGATTACAAGTAAGATATTATGGTATAGATCACAATTTAGTTCAGAAAAATATATTTCAGAAGTCAAAATGATGGCTTTTTTTTTTTTTTTGTGGGTCAGTGTATGTCTTCAGATTATGTGTATTGCAAAAATAATGATTTCGTCACTTTCCCTCCTCAATCGATTTCATATATTCAAACTTGAATCCAGAAAACAGCAAATGCTAACTAACCAAGACATTTCATCAACATTCCAGCCATAAAGTCGACAGTTAAATTTCCAAAATCACTTATTCTAAAAAGGGGAAAAATTTCCAGAAACCTTCAAGAGCCTCTTCGAGATCAAACTATACCTCTATGAAAACTTGATATTATAACAAAGACTAAAAATACCTCTATGAAAACTTGATATTATAGCAAAGATTAAAAAAGCATTGGAGCTGTCTATCCATTGGAAAGACGACTATTTGCAAATTACATGTCTACCATACTAATTGTGTCTATTTACATCATTATTCTGAATCATTAATTTCTGTATCTGTGACCATAACAATCTCGGTAATTTTGTCTTCTTGTCCCACTTTAGTTTCCTTGTAATCCTTTGGAAGCACATTACAGTTGATGGTGTGCGACACCGGTCTCTCCTCTTGAAACAATCTGAGTGGGCAAATTGAAAGCATGCATAAATAAAACATCGTATAGCTCAACAAACACAAGTGGTAACTTGGCGCTTCCCCCATAAAAGACGGAGGGAAAGAGTCAAATAGAGGACTTACGGGTGCTTGCATAAAGTAGGGCACTGAATAGTGAGTGCATACTTGCAAGTGGAAAGCTCTGTGATAGAACTAATCATAGCTCTCGGCTCTGAGCATACGAACCTGACCTGTTATCAAAATTCGAAATCAGTATGCTTGTGGAAGAAAGAAAAGAAAAACAGATTTCTTTAATTTCTTACCTCTGTCTCTCGTGGCTTATTTGTAAGGTCACATGTGGTACCATTTGTGTATTGGTGAGCATGGTACCTGCATGGGTATTATAAATATTAATATACACGAGTTTTTGTTCCATCATCCTACATCGAGTGAAACAATTCTCAATGATCAGCCAGCCTTGTTATTTGGTTATATACTTATATTCATTTTTGGAGGGTACCTTTGAGATGCATCTTGGGAACGAGGATCCTTCAATGTAGAAATGTCAGAAAGATTTTGGTTGAAGGCAGCAGTGGCTTCTTCGTCATACTCTCCCAATACAAATTCCTGGACCATCTGAAACAAAGGCACAAATACATCCATTTATTATAAGTCCGACCTGCAAGTCAAATAATCTTTAAGAAAACTGATGACAATACGAATGACAATTGCTAAAAGAACATCGTGAACAGATGTTAATGTCTTGTAGGGAAATTGATATAATAACAGGCTTGATTGATATGGATAACAAGCTTCTACTGTCAAGAATCACTGCAACACGTAATAAGATTGAATCTGTTTAGTGAATGTTAAGCCAAAAAATACAATTCCATTGTATTGATCCGATCTAAACAGTTTACAAAATAACTCTTAAAAACTAAGTTCCCATGCCACTGTGGGTGAATTAATTTAAACTGGTTTATTTATCTAATTCCTGTCACAAATTCATTGTCTCCCGCTGCTAGCTGGGAGGAAAAGAATTGATTATATTATATAAATAGAATGAAGGACTAAAGCTTACCTTATCATCCTCCACATGTAGTTGCCGCAACTTCTTTTGATAGCAAAATTCATATGACCACCAACCCTCTTGCTGCACAAACATATTATTAATGCAAGAAAATGATTTAAAATAGATATCTTTTGATAGAAAAAGTTTTGATATATACTAACTCTGATAAAGCATCGATCCTTTAACACTTCTAACAATTCATCTGGTGTCTTTAGTTTAAGCCTTTTCTCAGATTCAACAATCATGCTGCTAATATTGTGCTGGATAACCGGCCTTCCGCTTTTTTCCTTTTCCACCTTAGGCAAGAAGCATATAAATTTCTGTCCACTTTTATCTGGCATGATTATAGACTCCTGGTCATCATCCTGTTAACAAAGCATCACCAACACTTTAGGAAAAAAGGGGAAGATTTTGGAGAAGAAGGTTTTTTTTTTGGGTGGGGGGGGTGTCGTCGCCCACTAAGTTATGATTTCTCCTCGTCAATTAAACAAGAATAACAGAATTAAAAACAGAAAAAATCAGGACAAGGGGAAAAAGTAAACAAGCATCTAGCAGAAGAGCACATCCAATTCTCACACAGGAAAAGCACCATAGAGTGAACAAGAGATGATAACCCATAGAAAGGCAATTGCAAATGAATACAAATTTATTCAAGCTTACTGGATGAAAAGGAGAATCTTCTGGATGGAATTCAATCTTGTACTTTGGTTCACGAGAGCTACGACCATATGTGCCACCACCTGCTAACAAATCAGTTAGTGTATTAGTGACTAAGCTCAAATAGGAGACGGAAAATCCACAGCACGTAATATAATATCGCATTTTGTTGCATTACCACTCGGACCTCCATCCTTTACAAGATGGCAATACCAAGACCAATTGGTACTTCCACACCGAATTGGCACTTGCATTTTGGTAATTATAAATTAGAAAAAAGACTGAAACCAATAACTTGCAACCAGGAAAAGAGATCTTTGAAGCTGATTAGAATCACTTTGACAGGAATGCGAAAACAAACGTGTCATTCATAAGGTTAGATAGATGCACGGAACTGAACCGAAATAAGGCGCAGCTGAAGGTCCTAAGCAAAGCATTAATTTCCATAAACAGAAGCTTGAACCTCTTCTTCCACAAAAATTTAACTACGTGAACGGAAGGAGATTCTTAAATCTTCATTTATTCTTAAATTTCATTCAATGAACCCAATTGTTGACAATGCAAGTAAAACGTTGAATTATCGAGAAAAAGAATGAGGCAAGGATTTGAGAATCGGAGATAAGTCAGAGAGCAGCCAAATTGTTGATTAACTAAGAGAGAAAAGAATCCAAATTGAAGGACGAAAAAAAAGATGGGCACAGGCGTTGGATTACCGAGATGAGCTGGGAAGATCTGGTCACCGAACACGGAACTAAAAACGGTGAAAGATAAGAAGATGAAGAAGAACGCCTTCATCTCGTCTCTGTTAGGGTTTATGGTGTCAGAAATAGGAGAATCTCGCGATAAGGAAAACAATAGCTCCCAATCGCAGACAAATAGGAAGATGACTAACTCCGCTCAGAATCAATCGGAGACGGCGATCAATAAGTCGTATGGAGGGAGAAGCCACAGTGGACGTACTCCCCTTCCCTTCCACGCGAGCTTGCCAATCATCGCTTGCCAGATCATACAAGGTTGCATAACCTTTTTTCCTTTCACTTCTTTTTTGTAAAAGCCCATTGGGCGGACAAACAGGCCCATAAGAGTGCAGGTAGAGGAAAAATTAAATCTATCTCCCCGCTAAAAGAAGTGCTTCATATTTAGTATTCGATAGTACTTTGAATAGTATTGTCTCCAATAAAAAAATATCTATACTCTAAAAAAAAAATTAAATCTATCTTGGCCCAAAATTATAACCAGAAATCTCAACATCATCCTATTTTTTTAAAAAGATAATAATCTAAATGATATAGAAAATTATCCCATTTAAATTAAAATTTCATTTTTATCTGAAAAAATAAAATAGGAAGCTTTGAGTGTGTTAAACTTAAATAAGATATGAATTGTCGAGCTACTGTTGTAAAACAAGATCATATATCCAATTATCGATACAGGCACCATCAAAACCTTTTTAAAATTAAATTGTTTTCACTTGTTAATTTAGAGGAGGAATATATATGCACACACAAATACATATATTCACTGTGGTTTCTTACCTATAAAGAAATATAAAAATAAAATAAGATATATACTGCTTCTGATCCTTAATATAAAAGGTAATTTGACTTTTAATTTGATACTAAATATAAGAATTCAAATATACTTTATCTCTCACATTTATCTTTTTTTTTTCTCAAATTATTTTTTGTAATAATTGCACATGTTAAAAAACCCTTGCTAATACACATAACTAGTAAAAGTATTTTTTAAAAAAATAAAACTTATTTATTAAAAATAATTAACTTAACTAATTTTTTATTTTATTTAAATTAGTCAACTTACTAAAAAGAGATACTGTTAATCAATATCCTAAATTGAGGGATAAGTAGGAGAGTTTTATTAGGAGAATGAGAGTTTTAAAATTAAATTGCTTTCACTTTTAATTTGGGGGGGGGGGGACACACGCGTGTGTGTGTATTGACTTCGGTTTCTTAGCTATGAAGAAATATAAAAATAAAGCAAAATACTACTATAATTTAGGGATAAGTAGGAGAATGAGGGATTAGTTGGCGATTTGTGGGTTGTGACAGACAGTTGAGGGGGGCCCACACTGGTTCAGCGGCTAGGCTTTGCTTCGGTCACGTGGTTCTCGCAGCTAGTGCTTCGGTGGGAATGCCATACCAACGGAGGTCGTCCGCCATTTTATTTTTATCATTAAAAAATATTTATTTTCAGATAATTAAAATTACAGAGCCCCAGCTTTGTCTAGCCATCAACTTGTTCTGCACTTCTCCGAGATTCTTCTCTCCCCACTTTGTTTTATTTTATCTCTTTTTCAGAGAGATATTATATGACAGTAGTGAAATTAAATTATATAATAAAAACAAAAAATTATATCAGTTTTTTAATTTTATAAATATATTATGTACCTTTTTTTCCCTTGAAATTACATGATGCAATTCTAGAAAGGATTTGCAGGGTGCAATATTTATGAGAAGTAAAAAACAAAAACAATGATTAACTGTATGAGACGCCAACGGCCAAAATTAGTCTATCCGCTATAAGATCACATCACCTGATTTATGAAGGTTATTAATTAAAAAACTTAATTCATAAAGGTTCCAAAAATCTATTGCTCTCCGAGAGATGGGACCCACTGATTTTTTTTCGTCAACATCCCGGTGGGGAGAATAACAAGAAAACTATAAAGCGGGTATTTTCAGTTGTTAACAAGAAAAAGAAAACGAGGAGGAAAAAAGATATTGTATTCCAAGAAATTCTGATAAATGAAAAAGCAGCCAACATTTTCTGGATTTTCTACTTCTGTGGCGTTTACGTCAAGGATTGGAAAAATCTTTCAGTGTACAAAAGAACCAACACAACGTGGGTCGCTTTTCTTTTTCTTCCATGCCTCACATTACATTCTCTTCCCCAGACTTTGTCTCGCTCAGTCCATGTCTTGTCTCTGAGTTTTCTCGGTAAGTTTCATGCTTCTCCTAGATTTCATCACATAGATAAGTTCTTCTGTCTTATCAAAATCTGGGTTTTCATTTCTTCTGATATAATCTTAGCGGGTTGTCAGGTTTGGATAGTAATACCTGTTCCCTTCGAATTCAGTTTGGGAGCTGGTAAATAAAGAAGAAAGAGAGAAAGTATTCGGTTTGTGTTGTTCTTCTGTGTTGGGATTTGAGAAAAGAAAAGGAAGATCCTAATTTGCATTGACTGTGTTCTGATTCTCTCAAACTTCAGCCATTCTGATTACAACCTAGTCGGTCTCACGAAGAAGACGTTTTCAAGATTTCCAGCTGGTGATTTTCCTTATAAGTTCTTGCTAGGCTATATGCTATCTTATTATTTTGTCTCTGAAGGACTTTTATTGTATTGTTGGGGTTTGGATTTGTTATTATCTTGTGTATGCACTTCAATTGGAAACTATCTTTCTTTCTTGTTTATGGGATTGACTTGATTGAACAGTGAGTGTTGTGGTCTGAAGAGAAGTACAGCGTCAATTTTTCTTGGTTAGGTTCTTTACTGTTCGATTTTTGGGTCCAAATGGGTAGCAAAAAGAAACAAGTTGGAGAAAAATCAAGCGATGGTAGTGGAAGTCAAAGCACAGTAGGAGATAGCAGCTCCAAAACTTATGATAAAGATACTGAGGTATTTATTTCCATGTCTCAAGAGTTAAAGAGTGAAGGGAACAAGCTGTTCCAAAGGGGAGATCTTGAAGGAGCCGTCTCAAAATATGGGAAAGCCATTAAATTGCTACCAAGAAATCATATAGATGTGTCTTGTCTGCGGAGCAATTTGGCTGCATGCTACATGCAGTTGGGAATCAGCGAGTACCCGAGGGCCATTCGTGAATGCGATTTAGCCCTTGAAGTAACTCCAAAGTACAGTAAAGCCCTTTTGAAGAGGGCAAGGTGCTATGAGGCCTTAAATAGACTGGATTTAGCTGTGAAAGATGTTAGAACAGTACTGAAGATGGAGCCAAACAATACCATGGCATTGGAAATTTCGGAGAAGGTGAAAAATGCACTTGAAAAGAAGGGATTAAAAGAAGATGATATAGCAATTGAGTTGCCTTCTGATCATACTAAACTTCCTTGTGTGCCTCCTGAAGGAGTAAAAGAGAAGAAGCGCAAGAAGAGCAAAAAGGTTGAGTTGGTGACTGCAGATAATGTAGGTATTGAAAAGCCTGCTGAGGAGAAGTTGGAAGACAAGAAGGCGGAGGACAGTGTTGAGCAGAAGAAGGCTGTGAAAAAATCCAAAGAGAAGTTGGAAGACTGTGTTGAGCAGAAGGAGACTGTGAAAAAATCTGAAGAGAAGTTGGAAGACAAGAAGGCGGAAGATAGTGTTGAGCAGAAGGAGGCTGTGAACAAATCCAGAGAGAAGTTGGAAGAGAAGAAGGCAGAGGACAATATTGAGAAGAAGAAGGCTGTGAACAAATCCAAAAAGAAAGTGGCCAAGGAAAAGAGTAACGAGAAGAAGGCTGATATAAAGGAGGTTATTGAGGAAAAATTTAATGATGGAAAGGAAGATACAGCTAAGAAAACAGTGAAACTTGTTTTTGGGGAGGACATTAGATTTGCAGAATTGCAAGTCAATTGCAGCCTCCAGCATCTAAGGGAAGTTATCAGCGATCGATTTCCAAGCCTAGGAGCAGTTCTTGTCAAATACAGAGATCAAGAAGGTGATTTAGTCACAATCACTTCTGATGAAGAATTAAGATGGGCTGAAAGATCAGCAGGATCAGAGAGTTCTATACGCCTATACATAGTGGATGCTGATCCTAAGCAGGATCCACTGTTTGAGAAAATTAATGAAAAGAAGGAGCAAAAGCCTGTTATTAGTAATGAACTTGAGAGTAGTTGTGTGGAAAAAGAAAAGGAAATGATTAGGCCATCTTGCATTGAGGATTGGATAATCCAGTTTGCCCAACTGTTCAAGAACCATGTTGGAATCGAATCTGACAGATATTTAGATTTTCATGAACTTGGAATGAAACTCTATTCTGAGGCTATGGAGGAGACAGTTACTAGTGAAGAAGCACAAAGCCTGTTTGACATGGCAGGAGCTAAGTTCCAGGAAATGGCAGCTTTAGCATTGTTCAACTGGGGAAATGTTCACATGTCCAGGGCAAGAAAAAAGGTGAATTTCACAGAAGAATCTTCTAAAGAGCACCTGCATGAAGAGATAAAAAATTCATATGAATGGGTGCAGGAAGAATATAAAAGAGCAGGAGAAAAATATGAAGCAGCCATTAAAATTAAACCCGATTTTTATGAAGGCTTCCTGGCGCTAGGGCAACGGCAGTTTGAGCAAGCAAAACTTTCTTGGTATTATGCAATTAGCACAATTGTTGACTTAGCAACATGGCCCTCTACCGAAGTTCTTCAGCTTTACAACAATGCTGAAGAAAACATGGAGAAAGGAATGCAGATATGGGAAGAATCAGAAAAACGTTGCTTGAATGAAGATCCTAAATCAAAGGATATCAAATTCCTTTTACAGAAGATGGGATTGGATTGCCTATTGCAAAATATATCATCAGAAGAAATAGCAGCTCAGGCAGCAAATTTGAGGTCTCAAATAAATATCCTTTGGGGTACCATGTTGTATGAGCGTTCAGTTATGGAATTCAAACTAGGGCTACCAGTATGGCATGAATGTCTGGAAGTTGCAGTTGAGAAGTTTGAACTTGCTGGAGCTTCTCCAACAGATATAGCTGTAATGTTGAAGAACCACTGTTCAAATAACACTGCTGCTGAGGGTACGTGTCCATACTAATTAGAAACTTTGCAACAGAATGAATATGCACTTTTGTATATATTAATTTTCCTCATTAACAGGTCTAGGATTCAACATTGATGAAATAGTCCAAGCATGGAACGAGATGTATGAAGCTAGAAGGTGGCAGAGTCGGGTTTCATCATTTCATTTGGAACCCTTATTCAGAAGGCGAGCTTCAAAAATTTATCATGCCTTGGAGCTTGCATGATTCGCTTTCTGTTCTCCAAGTTGATGGAAAACGGCACAGCCAATACTCACGTAGCTGCCTCGTGCTTGAATTACTGTCTTTTCATAGAAAGGTAACTTAAATTCATATCAATATCATGATTATTGCTGTCTATTTTTGGTGAAACAGAAACATGATGAAAGGGAAGGCTTGTACACAAATACACCGCACACACCTTGGCAATGCCCTCTTTTCTTTAACATACAGTACTGTGAAAGGATCAAAGCAGATATTAACCATGAGAGAACATCCTAAAAACAAAATGTGATGATAAAATATAACTGCAGGATTCAAAGAGTTCAAGAAGACAATGAACTTGTAATTGTTTAGGAGTCCCACATTTATAGGCTTCTCAATGAAGTTGAAAATTTGACTGTCCATGTCCTTCAATAATCTTCACGTTTTATTCATTGACATGCTCATTCTTGCAAAAGCTTCTTATACGTTTGATCCCCCCCCCCCCCAAAAAAAAAAAGAAGAAGCAGGTAACTGTGAGGAACTCTGCTTTTTTTGTAGTATGCCTGATGTTAATTTTCTTTTAGTCATGTTGATTTTCTTTTCATTTATTCACTGACATGCTCATTTCTTGCAAATACGAAACATAAGGAGACAGTTAAATTTTCTTCATTCTGGACGTTGGGTCCTGAACATGTGGAGTCATCTGCAACATTTGTTTCCAGTATGAGTTTAAATGATGCATGTTTCTCCAGATCAACTTAATTCTTTACTCAGCACCATATTAAATGGAAACATCATTGGTTCATTTTTTTCTGTGCAGGGTTTATATCTTGTTACTTGTAGGCGTTGAGTCAATTTTATGTTCATAGAAAGGAGCTATTCTTTGCGCTGCACATAGGTGTTCCATTTCCAAGAACAGAGTTCTCTGTCTTGCGTCATTACACGTTGGGAAGAGTGGAGTTATAGCAACTTATATTTGGTATGTGTTTGGGAACACGTTCTCAAAAGGTTGCTCTTGTTTCCAAACACAGTTTTAGTTTTTGGTTTCTGCTTTACCTCATATTGCCTCCTGTTGGTGTGTCAGTTTTTAGTGATCAGCAGTGACATTAACTTTGTACCAAAAGCAGTTGAAGAGAAAGTGTTTGCGAGATATATCCACTTGTACTGGATCATTTAATTTCTTATTATTGGCGAGTTGTGTTTCGAACATCAAAGAAAAATAGACGAAGAAAGAAATCAAAAATTAAAAATTATAGAAAGAAAATAGTTCCAGAGTATAACTCTAGCGTTCAAAATATGTATGCGCATCAGATACGGAAGACTTTGTTTTTAACAAGTTTGCATCACGCCAATGAAAACACATGCTTGTTACCCCAAAACAAAAGAACAAAAAGAAAAAGGACGGAAGAGTTGCTATAAAATCCTAAATAAAAAAACATAATTAGTAAAAAATCGCAAGTATAACAAAATAATCTGCAACTACAAGTTTTAAGATAGTAAATGATAACTTCTTATTTATTAGTGAGACTTACTAATAATTTTTTTTCTTGGAGCTTCATTGTAATTCTATAAAATTGTTCCAAAATTTAGGTGTAATTTTAAATATATTGATTGTTGTCCACCGAATTTGGATCCCTTTCTCCCCTTTCTCTCTCACAATCCTATTTCTAGTTTCTATCACGGATAATTCAAATTTAATATTTTAGAAAATAAATGCCCGCATTCTCCCTCTTTTTTATGTAATATTATAATAATAAGTTTACAAAATGTGAAATTTGTACCATCCGTTTTTCAATCCATGAGAATCTGGAAAAAAAGAGATCAATCCAAATCCGTTGTCACCGAATAAAAAATGTGAAATAAAAATATTGCATCCAAGATCATGATAGTTCCTTACTATTTCTATTGAACCTAGTAACGAAGAAGTTTAATTAAATCCATCCTTTGATTTAAAACTATGAACATGACAAAATATTTATGCTCTGGCAAAATAAAATGATAAAGTATCTATGCTTTCAATCACTGGACTTTGGTGAAAATGAAACATTATTTATATAGCCATGTGCATTGAATAGACCGCAGTACCAACCGTGCACTGTTTAGAACATTTACTTGTTCCATCAGTGTGTTATTATACAGTGGAAAAGAGGCACTGAAAGGCCCAGTGAGTGAGCATCGGCATCCAAAAGGGGTGGGAAGAAAGATATGAAAATTGAAATTCACGTGCATAATTACATAAAGTGCGTACATTTATGAGAACCAACCCCTTCTTACCTTCTATTACTTGATGGCCATTTATGAATATTCAAGACAATGTCATCAGTATGTACAGATAGCTGCCCCAGGTTGAGAGACAATTCAATGTCCCTGGTCTATTCTGGTCGAAAGCTTATCAAATTGGGAAGCTCAGTTAAGTGAAGCTTCTTGATTTCAGATGCAGTAACTTTGCAAGACTCCAGATTTAGGGTGCGTAAGTTCTTCAAAGGCTTCAGATACCGAAGTCCTTCGTTGGTTATTTGAGAATTGGACACATTTAGTGACCTCAGTCCAGTTAATCCTGTATCACACAAACTCAAGGTCAAGCATAAAAGCATAGTTAAGATCTTGCACACATCTTCTAACGGCTATACCTCAGGAAATGACTGTTAAGAAACGAATAAAGTCCTTAAATTATAATAGAGCACGTGCGCCTAAGGTGAAGAATATGCAAGTCGAATCGGGACTTATCTGCTTCCTCTTTCAACCATGGAAGAAAGGGAAAGCAGAAGTACGACAGTTTGGTCACACAAGGAAACCCAATTTTATGCAATGTATGTTACAAGGTGCAATGTAACAAGAGGGATAAGAATATACCAGAGAGTAATTCCAAAGTTTTATCTGTCAAGTTGCAATTCTGGGACAGGTTTAACTGTGTCAGGGAGACAATGTCTTTAATATTTTGGACGCCTGCATCAGTTAATCCTCCACCACATATTTCAAGGGATTGTAGGTTCTTAAAGTCTGCCACGCGAAAACATACAAAAGCAATTAAATTATCAATATAACTTCATGCACAAGATACTGCAGACCCAGATTTTCAAATTACGTCAGTCAGCACCTTGTAACATTAATAATACGTCTCATAACAACAGCTGTGACTCAATCAGGTGCTTGAATGTAATTCTATTGTTAGCATGCAAATAGAATAAATAATTAATGAAAGAAATCGATCATGGACTGAGAGTCAGATTAATATACTCATACATCGTAAATATGCAGTGCCAGAGTCTGAAATTCGTGCTCCAAAAAGATCCAATTTTATCAATCCACTCAGACCTGCAAAAGATGAGCCAAAATGATAAAATGAACTACAGATGAAGCAAGGCAATATTCATTTCATTTAGTTTAAAGATGTTATCAATTTTCCCATGTTTTTTTACACTTGAAAATAGTACATTTGAAAAATTACTTGCCAAACGAAAACAGACATCAGAGATTATTGTGAAACTTTAACCTCTAATTGGAAAAATGGTGATGATGAATATGGTGATGCAGGTGAAAAGACAAAAGGAATATGTAATGTACAACAACAAGCCTTACTCAACTAGGTGGCATTGGCTACAAGGAATACGTATTGTAGTCTATGAAAATAAAAGCTTCTTCCTCTTTACAACATGGTCTTTTAGTTCTGTTAACATTCATCATTGTTCATCATTTAAAAGTAACCGGCACAGCCTGTACCATTATTAACTCACCACATATATGGACTTAAAGTAGAACGTGGGTTAAAACTGTTAAGGTATTGTGGAGGAATTAGAGGAGAGAGAGGAAGGAGAAGAAATCTGGGAAGAAGAACGAGAGAGACAGAGGGAGAAGAGAGAGAGGAGGGAAAATTCATTCCATTCATTTAAGCCATTCGCATGTCTCCTTAAAACTTACCCAGGCTCTTTATTTATAGGCCTAAGGACTTAGTAACTAATACTAACTCACTCCCTTCTTTCTATTATACTTACATATCAAAAACCACCAAACAAAAACACATAAATACGTACTAGTAAGTTTTGCAAGTCCAGCATCAGTAATCTGACGGGCATCCAGATTGAGCAATTTAAGAGACGTCAATCCTGACAGCCTTTTCAAGCCACTATCAGTTACCAAGGTAAATGACAGATTCAAACTTTCCAATTTGTTTAAACCTGGATAAAATTAAGAATGACGAGCAGCATCATGTGCACTTGTTCAGTCTATGTTATCCTCAATCATGATTAAATCAAATTGATAAGTAGATATAATGCAAATAGTATGTCATATATAGATGTTAGTGTAGGCATACGTGGACCTGCAAATATTAAGACAGACAAAAGAGATCTCTTTAGCTAAAAAATTGTGAAACCAGAAGAGCAAGAGGCATTGTATCTATGCTCATTAAGAAGGATTCAGCCACAATAGCACCCAAGCATTGGTAAGCAAGAATAAGCGAAAATATTTATTACGAAAACGGGCTTACTCAAATTTGTCTCCCAACATGCTACAGAATAAATTTTTTAACATGTTTACAGCCTATAGAGCAGACACTTTTCTGATTAGATAACTAGATATAGGATTTAATCATTCAACCTGATATATAACGCAGCCCATTGCTCCCAACTTCAGTGTCAGACAACTCCAAACTTTTCAGACAACTGAGACCTGAAAGAAGAAAATTTGTGACTTTCGTTTCATAGCAGGTATTGCTAACTCAAATATTTGAATCTAGAATCCTCACAATCTTTTAGAACCCTTTCTTCCCACTTGAAGAATAGGATTTAAAACAAGGATTTTTATCACATTAAAAATAAAACATGAGAGATTCATCTTTTGCAATAGATCATGAATTGGCCAAAAAAAAAACAGAGAGGAAGAAAACAGTACTATGAGCCTTTAAACTATATAGCGGACAGGAATATGAACCTTTAAACAATGTAATGGTCATTCAAAACTACAAAACAGAGATACACGAAATGCAAATGTAAACCTGTCAAATTAGCCAGCCCTTCATCACCTATCTTGCAAGAATCCAGATTCAAAAACTCCAAATTCATTAAACCTGTCAAGAATCAACCAATTATTGATGTGATTCAACACTCGGAAAAATTAGAATATACAAGTTGCACAAGCAATAATAGCAAATCAATGAGCCCTACTCGTCCATATAAGGCATGATGCATTCCCTTTAAGGAGTTTCTTAGAATTAGAGTCTCAAACATGAGGACTATTATCAAAAAATTACTGTCTTCTCAAGCAAGAATCACGTGTCAACTCTTCATGAACCTCATTAAGCTCCCCTTCATAACCACATATTATAAACTTCTCACGACGATTGAATCCAGCAACATAGCTGAGTTTGCTCTGGGTTCAATAACAGAACACCCAATGGTGAAGAGGAAGCCTAACTATAAAACACATGATTGCTTTGTTACAGGAGAAAACAGGGATAAAGATACCAAGAAGCAACATAGGATATGGGAAGTAGCTTTGGTGGCCTCACGGGGAAAACAGAAGAGCTTTTAACATTCTTTTCAATTACCCATTAGCCCGTTCATTTTACCCTTGTTTTGAATTTTAATATGCATGAAATAGGTTCTTTGTTGTTGAATTTCGTTGAGGAGACTTGTTACAGTTTTGTTTCAGGGGCTGCACTCCTAAATTCCTCTAAATATCAGGCATCCCGACATAGTAACTATTCCCGCTCAGATAACTTCAGCAGGACCAATTCTTTCCCAAATGAGTAAATAAATCCGTTAGAAGTATGATAGATGCATGCAGAAGACATTAGGATAACCAAAATGCCCAAAACCACATGCAAATTTCAATACCCAATATCACACAAGAGCTCTATCTGCTGCGCAATGAAATTGGAATTGCCAGCAATTGACATTAACAATTTTACAAATAGGAATTGTACACGCACTAAATTAGTAACCTTCTTAATCTGAATAGCTTTAATGGTACTGCAAACAATTGAGAGGTTTTTTGGTAACCATGGCTGGCCATGGGCGTACTCTATCACATATGCACAATAAAATATAATATATGCAAGCGGAATTAAATTAGAAATCGGTAAAAAAAAAAAAAGAATTATAAGAAACAGATGAAATGTAAGCAGGGTAATCATTTAACATATTTATTTTATCCAACTTTCTCTGGTTTCCTTTTTTTTGATTTTTTTTGCGCCCCGCGTGCCCCCCGGGGGGGTCCATAAACTTCACCCAGAAAGATTGGGCACATCAAGTTTATTTTTCAGCGTAGGGAAGAAAGTAAAAATGAGAAATACTCTTCTGCTGCACAGAGAGACCAGATACAACCTTTCAGATGAATCAGACATGCGTCTGTGATATTGTTGAATCCCAGGCTCAACCTCTTCAAGCTTTTAAGGCCTGCACAAAAGGGGATGGAAGTGTTAAACCTAGAATTTATTGCCTTGCAATTCTTCGAATTAGAAGCATGAATATGTAGTTTCGAAGCATGCTTTCATAGTTAAACTTACCGGAAATTTTTTCAAACCCATCATCAGAAAGACCACATCTATTAAGATTTAAGCAAGCCAAGGCTGCTAAGGCTGTAACAGAAATAATTATAAAATTAGAGAACTGACTAAACAAGTAGACATTGGAACAATAATCGGCATGAGCATCCAATAATATAATTTTTGACAGCTTTAGTGACAACTCATAAAGGACATTTCAAGGTCCTTAATTCTCCATTAAAACTTGATAAATAAACATAGTCATCCATAATGATCAATATTTGTTCCAGGAAAATGATGATGTCTAAAACTTGTGAAGCTTAAAGAAAACAAGTAGAAAGAAAAATGAAGTTACCAGCAATAGAATCTAAACATGAAGCAGTTATATTGCAACCTTCCATGTCCAAGGTAGTAAGCTTCTGCAAACCTGTAAATGCAAACCAGTAAAAAGTTACCACTTAAAAGTAGATGGCCGCATAGCATAACACACGAATCATATTGCACTTTGATAGAGTTAATCCTGTATCCTTCCCAAAAACCTACTGCAGCTGACAAAATAGAGTAAAAGTAGTAAAAGCTGTGCCTACAAGTTACAAAGAATAAAACAGTTTATGACCCAAGAAGCAAGAGTGGAGGAAGAATAGGTGAGGGCAGGTGCAGCCAGAAAGAGAGGCAGCAACTGGGAGTGGTCGGGTTACCATCTTGTAGAACTCTCGGTTTCAGTGGGTGTGTGTTAAGTCTTTTAGAAAGGTAGTAGCTTGTGGAGAGTTCTGGCATCTCAGATGCTAGCGTGTTCTTTGCATTCAGTTGCTGCAGCTATGTTTGTATTTCTGCTCTTAGGGTGTGAGGGGAGGACGGGTTTTAGCCAATACAAGGCACTACAGCATTGGTACTGATACAGTGTAACTTTGAATACAAAACACGAGTTCAGTTACATCTGTTTCCATTCAGTCTTCCCCCTTTTTTATCCTGATCTGAACCAAGCACGTTCTGGCTTTGGGGTTGAGTTTCACGGTTCTATCACACTTTAAACATATTGAATAAGTTAGACAGTTTTGATTGATGTTTAAAAAAAAAAAAAAGCCTTTTACATTATCTATTGGAGCATAATGCAGCAGCTGCTGTGTATTACATTGGGAAAGGATACCCAACACGATGAAAGATACCTCTCAAATAACTAATTCCAAGATCTGTAATACTGGTGTTGGAAATTAGTAACTCCTTGAGATTTGAAAGCCCTGAAACACCACAAACAGTCAAAACATGATAGTGACTTGAGTAATTGCATGTTAAAGCAAGAAGAGGAACGGATGATAGATGAACCCAGTCAGTTATCAAACATTTAAACCGCGGGATTTGGCATAAACTGATCAGATGTATGTATATGAGTCAAAACAAATAAAGTAATATGATCAAACATTCTAAACAATATTCAAGACTACTCAAGCAAAACATTGCTTTACCACGTAAGATATAAGATACTTGATCATATGTATGCATAAACAAAGTAAGTTCACACAGCATATAGATTCGATATTTGGCAATTTCTTTCCTTTCTACTTTCAATAATAGTAAGCATAACCAAAAGAGAATAAAAATTAAGTAAAAATTTAATTTCGTCCAGCTGCAATTGAATGTCATTCAACTGCAAATATTTATTGTCGTTGTCATAGTAGTTAATAAGACAAATGTTTGAAGAAACGATATTGTTATAGATCACTAATATTATAACTTTACATGTCATTTCAGATGCCGCTAGCATCACGAAAATTAACCTGGACACCAAAAACAAAAATTATATACATCTCAAACATCCTTCACATGCATAAAAAGCTTGTTCGATATCTGATGGAAAAACACATCATTCACATAACAAAAGACCATATATAATCCAAGCGGGCAAAATTTTCTTAATTATGCCCAAAACATAGAAATTAGCATATTTTAGGGAATTATCCATTCACTTCAAGAGGAAATGTTTTTCTCTCTCCCATGCCTTATCTTCTGTGGCTCAGCCATTTCTATTTGCCAATTTTAAACATGGGAAACGCCTGTGAATGAGACAGCTATATCATACAAAGACTTATGTCACCCATGAAGATCCACAATCCACAGACAAAAGAACACTCCCTTTTCATCATCAAATGAAACCTGCAAGACAAACACTACAATAAAAATACAACACCTAAATACCTGAGATAGCCTTTATGTCTGAATCTATGACACATTTGCAGCATCCGATATTAAGAGACTCCAGCTTTTTCAAACCTGTATAGCCAAAAAATTTCTGAGGAAATCAAGCATGATAGCATCAGGTCACTTTAACCACCATTCAAATCATTCCTAATTAAACAATCTAGGAAAAACCAAAAGGTAATAATAAAAATTCATCTTGCATTATCATATAAACTAATCTGATTGCACTATTTGTTTATACTAAACCGAAGCAATTGACTCAACAAACAGCATAAAATTATCAAATTTGAAGGTGTTCAGCACCTTTAAGATATATCAGAAATATATGAAATTGTCAATGAACATTCATCAAAAACCCATTAGAAGTAAAATAGGTTGGAATTCTAATTAAAAAGACAGGGGAAATATGTGATGAAGCAATCTAAGATAACGATCATATTCTTATTCCAGTCAAATGAACCTTATTTCAGGCTACACTACCCCATCAATTATACCTCTTGCTTAACTGTAGATAAAAACTCAAGCTTATTTTATATTACTACAGGAGAGGTTGGCAGTAAACAGTGCATGTATGTTTTAAGAAGAAATTCATCTGAGCTTAGAAACTGCAAAGTTTCGAGGAAAGAAACCTTTAAGATGAACAAAACCACCATGAATCTCTGGACACCTCTCCAGGTCCAACTTCTCCAGATTAACTAAATTGGAGAAGGTACGCATTCCATCAGGTGTAACAGTGCTGCTCCTTCGGATACTCAAGGAAGTCAAGTTTGAAAGACCTATGTAAGAAAATCAGCATTTGTTTATGACAATCAAAATGGACTCCTGAACTCTTAGCCAGTCAGCATAGTAAACACAAGTACATGATACCATTAAATACAATGCTATTATCTACTACATACATACAGTATGAAGAATACACAACATTTGATGAAGGTTGCACCTTATTTGAACATCATTATCCATACTACAACTATACAGCAACTATCATGCAAATAATATGTACTACATATATGGGACTCGAAAACTGTCACATAAAATATAATAACACACAACCACATACATATTTACTTGGAAATTCAAAAACACTTTTTATGACAATTCTATCCGTTATAAAATATCTTTTTTTTTAATGGTAAACTAGAAATTATAGAATGAAGGAATTCACAAATGTTGGTAGGATGCACTTAAACTTAAATCTTCAAATCAAAAAATTCGCATATCATGGAAAAGAAGAAAAGAAGACATTACATGACAGCATATCCCACAGATAGCATTCAAGATGAGCATAAAATTTCACCAAACTCTAGGCAAAGTCCCGTAATTGGAAGAAACTGCAAGATCTTGCTATAATCGTAAAATGACAGAGAGCTCCAGATTTTTTAAAAAAAAAAATTGTAATCATAAAAAAATAATATTACCACTAATGTGTTTAAGCCCATGTTCTGAGAATTGGTTGCAGAAATCAAGAGTTAATGCTTGAAGATTTGAGCAATCTTTCAGGAAACGCAATCCCTTATCTGTCACTTGAGACCGAGTAAGATCAACAGAGAGTAAAGATTCTCCTTGCGAAGATATTGTGTCCATCCAACCATCATGTACCCCAGGATATTCAGCCAAAAAAATATCCTATCATGTAGAAAAAACACCTCGTAAGGTGTACAGTTTTACAACTTCAATGCTTAAGTACTTAAACTTGAGAAATACTTTCAACTCCACCAAGCCTCTCGCACACTACCTGAAGAGCACAATCTCGGAAAGCTTCCAATGATACATCTGTGAGGCAATGAGAATCCACCAATTCATTGAAGATTTGCTGGCTTATGTCCCTTGGAAGAATTGAAAATGAACTATATTTGTCAATATCCTGTCACATTTCAATCTGTGAATCAGGCAACGAATGTAGACAAGAAATAACCCCCAGGCGTATGAACAAAAGAAAGCAGTACCTCACGTATTTTACGGATACATAGCTCCATGAGAGAAGGGCAACCACCCCCTTCTAAGTGATGACTTGCCATAGAATGCAAAGCTGTGGCTCTTGACCATTTTGCGCTAGCACTTCTACAATACCTTCTTGAGACTACTCTATGCAAACCATATTCAACGACTTGCTGATCTCGCTTCCTGGAACAGATTCCCCCCATTGCTTAATGGTTGATGAAGGTGCCAAAAAACAGCAATGTTCCCATTTCAGAAGGATATTCTGCTGGGATGAACTGCAGGAAGAAAAATAAACATAGCTTTACACTTGTATGTGATTGTGAGGAAGAAGAATAAATAAAGAGCCCTTGGGTGCAAAAATATTGTAGACTTGAACTCAGTAAACAAAAAAGTTCTTCCCTGATTTTGTAGGTTAACAATAAATTGTGAAATAGCACTAACGATCTCTAATACCGAAGCTTTTTGCACTACAATAGCAGTGATAGCAGAATTTTTAAACAGAAAAGCACAGACAGAAGGCATCATCATCCGTGTTTAATATTAGTAAGCAGTAATAACACTTTAGCAATGGCAGAGCGTAGAATAGGATATCCGTTCTTGTCCAGACGAATTAACCATAATACCAGATTATGAAAACTAGTCTCGGACCAATTCTTCTGGACAACAAATGACACTATGTTATCAACGATGGAAGCTTCATTTTCAAACATTATTGTGCATAATCGGGGCATGGGACCGCCGCTCTCACTCATCTTATTTAAATTACAAGAAAAATTAGTGATAGCAGAAGCATAACATAATTTTATCCATAAGCAGCTAAATAACAAGAGAAATTCTTGTGCACACCATTTCGTTTCTAATACAAAATTCTTGTATGCAGTGGGACTGAAGGAAATCTGTTACGTCAATGTAAATGCATGGTTCTCTCTCAAGCGTGAGCTCTGGAAGTCAGATTGATCTCCAACCCCAGAAGTGTGCAAAACTAAAAGCTCCAAATAGTAGATAACATTCCCGACTGTATATCTATAGCAATAAGTAACAATAATAATTTTAAGAAACATTATCTTGTGAAAAGATGAGGAATATGAAACAGTGTTCTCCCTCCAACGGGAAAATCAGAGAAAACACCATCGTTCAAAATGTTCTAAGAACCAAAGATGCAATCAGTTTTTACCCCCAAGGTATAAGCTGTACCTCTCCTTCAAATATAGCTCAATAAGTTAAAGTTTTCATTTCAAGGGAGGAAAAAGGCATAAACGAACCCACATATGAGTCGTTGATCTCCACCGCTAAATCATACCTCTTTATCTCACACACCAAGCAGAAGAGTATAAATACTTGGTCGACGGAAAGGGAAGATGAAAACGAAACAGAACTCTTGAATGAACATACCTTAAAGGCGAGCTCTTCGGTGAGAGACTGGAAGATCAAAAGCCGAAGAAGCCATGAAAAGTGAGTTTTAGGAACAGAACGAGGTAAACGGCAAGCAGAAATGAGAGGAAGCAACGAGGTGGTTTGGGGAGGAGGAGGAGGAGGAGGAAGAAGAAGGCGATGGAAGTGTGAGACAGTGAGAAGCCAAGCTACGCCATCTGTGCTTGCCGCGTGTCAATTGGCTCGGGGGTGTGGGGGAACTTCTGAATAATTAATAACTAAAATTAATCATCGATTATTGTTAATAATTAATGATTAATAGTTAATACGATAAAGGATGAGATAAGATTGAAAGGGGCGAGAGCAGGCGGGTCCCACGTTCGTGCTCAGGCTTCGCGTCCTGTTGGACCATTCTATTCTATTGTCCCCTCTCGCTCGTCGGCTAAACGTTGTCGTTTATCGGTTATTTACTCATCTCATTCTATCCATAGAACAGAAAGATAAAACATTTTTTAATTTTATTTATAAAATATTGAGAAAATTTTTTTATACAAATATACAATTTTACTTTTTATTTATTATTATATTAATTTTGTTTATATGAGATATAGTGTATATTAAATAAGGATAAAATTGAAAAGTTATTAAATTTTAAATGAGAGTTAGTAAAATTTAGGGTTTTTCTTAGTTTGTGTGAAATATGTTAGAAGTAATTTTTATAAATAAAATCAGAAAACTATTACTTAAGAGCTTATTTGAAATTACATTCAAAAAGTAATTATAAGTAAGTTTTATCCTCTACATACTTACCTAGGTCATTTCAAATGCGCCTAAGTCGATGTTGATACCCATACATAAATCTCTCTCTGAAGTAAAAAGCAATAAAATCATATATGAAAAAATTATGATGATCTAATTTCCTTGAAAAATTATATAAGGCCAAACTTTTATTAAATATAATGCATAATATACTAAAAAATGCTCCTGGACCACCATTGTTTAATGCAGATTTATTGCCTCTATTTACGGGAAAATACTAAAAAATGTTATAACAGAAAAAAAAATCACTTGACAAGTATCTATATTTTTTAATTTTTAATTTGTTGTGTGTACATATGTATTTATTAAATTGTTAATTTTGGTACGTTAATTCCGCGCAAGAGCAAAATTACAGAATTAACAATACCAATAGAAGTTTTTTTTTTTTTAATGCAGAGAAAATATTATTACTCCGAAAATTTACAAAAGGAACACATCAGAAGAAAATTGAAGTATTTAATAAAAAGAGAAAACAACAACTAATGAGATTGGGCGGAAAAAAATCGAATTCTTCACAATGTAGCAAATCGGGATTTAAATCCTACCGAAAAAGACACTTACATTTACTGCCCCAACCTTAAACAAAATTGTTTTGAATAGAAAGATTTATGTTGGCATGAAAAAAACAAAATGGCTTATATGATGAAAAAGAATTTCTTTTTAAAAGGCCTCTTATATCTGTGAGCTAAGGAGGCGCTAACATAAAAGATTTATTTAGAATAGTTTATAAGTAATTTTCCAATTATAATTTACGGAATACAAATTAATTATATGAAAAGAGTTGTAATGTTACATCTCGACTTATATAAAACATATTTATAAGTAATTTCTAACCTAAATAAGGTTATATAAGATTAATTCCCGATGGTTATATCAATATGTCATCGTCTTGCCGTGAATTTGAAGTGCTTGGAACTTTCAAAACTCTAATAATTTTCTTGGCCACTAAAACCTCTGCTCATTTTCTTGCACACCTATAATAGTTTGGCCATTCGGCATTTCAGTATTTGAGTAGTGTGAACTTTGTTTTGATGTTATTATTGCTTTGTTAAAAGCAAATAATATCATACAATATTTTAATTATCAAATCATTTAACTTTTTTAAATTTAAAGTTTTTTCCCCAAAAAAATGGCGCTTTTTTTGACCAAAGAAAAGTAATTGTCATGCTTGTATCCTTATGTTTTCAGAAATATATACAGTGACTTTTATCAATAATGAGACCTCAGTATCTGAAAATATCTTTAGTCACTATATTTCCATTTTATCCCATGGAACGTCTTTTTCAGCTATCAATTGTTATTGTTCACAGGCACGATGTTATCTTCTATCCTTTTTCATCTTCCAATTGATGATTCTTGTTCTGCAATCACTTCATTGCTAAAAAAGAAACAAATATTGCCAGTGAAATGGTTAAATTTATAACAGGAGTTAGTTGAAAATTAAATTTAGTTGAAAATATAAAATCTCAATTCACTTTATTTTTTAAATTTATAATTTATTCTCTAAAATATCCCCATCAACTACACATATTAAGGGTTTCTCTCTAAGGGTAACCATGATTAAAAAAAATTTACAAAAAATATGTTTGTTGCAAATAACTAATTTAATTAATTTTTTTAATTTATTCAAATAAGGGTTCAATTTAGTTTTTTTTATATGTTTTTTTAGCCTTACATTTATTGTATTGTTGCATCCATTGCATGTAATGCTGTTCGTTGTATTTTCTTGGATTTTTTTTTTTTTTTGCGGACTGATTTCTTGGATCTTTATTGTTGCAACCGGGTTTTTGTGGTTCCATGTGGTTTTATCATACAAGAGGGCCTAAAAATCCATGCATCATTTTGCTTTTTAGATCACACTGTCAAAAACAATAAAACATAAGATTTTTTTTATTATTAAATATTATTTTCCCTCCCTTTCCCTTTGCTTCAATCATCTTTACCCGAACGGAATGACAAGTGTTTATTAATATCCAACGATTTAGTTTTTACAGTACATGTGTGTCTCCCCAAATGGAACTGATGTGGGTTTCCTCAAAATACCAAATAAGTGTCTAAAAAGATTATACTCGTCTGATCCTTAATATAAGACATATTTAACTAATTTGATTAGATTAAGGAAGTTAGGTAAGCTAGTTAATTATAAGAAAAGTGACACATTTTTCCTAAAATACCATAATCATCTTTCTTAATACGTCATCTCCCTCTTCTACTTGATTATGGTTGAGAGGGTACCCATAGGGGTAATTTAGAAAAAATTGATAAATATAAGAAATGAGTCTTATATTTAGGATCAAAACCAACTCAAAACTTAAGTCCTGTATTAAGGACCAAAGGAGTAACATACTTATAATTACTTAGTACTCCCTCCGTTCCTTATTATAAGAGATATTTGATGCTTATGGCATGTTCCTATATATAAGAGACACTTAAAAGTTATCTCTACTTTTTTTGTGTTGATTTCCTATTTTACCCATATTTATTGTCTCCAATTCACACTCTCTCTCTTTCTCACTTCTCTTTCTTTTAATAATTTAATTGTTCTCTCTCATGCTTTTTCTCCTTATTAATTAGGGCATTTTTGGAAAAAAGATTATACTTTTTACACATTGATTGTTCTTAACTAATTTTAACTGTTTTTTTTATCAACGTAATTCAGTTATTCGTTTCTTATAATAAGTAATGGAGGGAGTATATAAATAATGCCAAACAAACACATGCTCGTTCAAGGAGATGAACCCAAACTACTAAATTTTTTTTCTTAAACACATACTGGCAATTGATACATTATCATCTCAATTTTTTTTATGTTCACTGAGAATAAAAGCATAGAGGTAGCTCGATTCTATTCTTTATTTTTATTTTTTTAAACAATATAAATTTTAGAAATAAAAAAATCTGTTTGAATCATTATTTTTTAAAAGAAGTAAACGGGCTTATAAGCCATAATCTCTGCAGAAAATAAATTAATATTCTTGAATTATTTTTAATTTTAAATTAATTATAAACGGTGCTCTTTGGACATGGCTATTATAATTTATTTTTTCATCATGTATAATCCATTTGATTCGACTGGTTAATTTTTTAAGCGTATTTTCAAAATTGAGGGATGAAGGAGAATTTATCAAAGCAAATTTTAATTTCAGGAGGTCTAACCGGACCAAGCTGTGGCCTGTGTCTTACCCTAACCGGACCATACACACAGTGATCCCCCTTGCCAATTCTCCTTCTCTCCACTCTCCCTGTCTCTCTCTGTCTCTCTCTCTCTCTCTCTCACTGAAATTGTTCTCTCTTCGAAATGTTGGCAATGGAGGATTCAACCTTCTGCTTGTCCAAGAGGGACATGTGGATTGACTCTTTCGTGGAGGTTGCCGTGGCGGTGGAATCTCTTCTTGCCTTCCAATCTCTTGCCTGCCTTCTAGTGGTATTATTATAATATTTATTGTTTCTTTTGTTTTGTTTTTTTGTTTTTTAAATTTTGCGACCTAGAGCTTAAGCATGACAGTAATTTCTGTTAATGGCGTCTCTGATAGTGTTCGTTTCACAATTTTCGTCTATGATTTTATGCTCTGTATGATTTTGGGTTTCATTGGAGTGTTATGTTTCTTCTTTGTTGTTTTGTTTAATTTTCAATTATTCATTCATTCACTTGCTTATTCTTTTGAGAAGGGTTTTGGGATTATGCTGAAACGTCACTTGTTTTTTGGTCAATATATTTGCTGCTTAAGCTAAACCGCCCCCCTAGAATACGAATAAGGACTGGATTCCTTGTTCGTTCTTAGGTTTTGTAATCAAATTATAAATTTTAAGAAAATTGCATCATGCGATACGGAACTATACAAATCAAATGTTACATTATCATCGTAAATTCATACCTGACCATAAAGACATAAGAAAATTTTCTTGGTAAAGAACCGTGTTTGTGGTTGTAAATAGACACTATAGTACTTTGGAATGGTGGCGCACAACTCTGCGTTTTTTGGTTCATCCTTCATTTTGCTAGATAGAAGGGTGCGCTTATACACCAAGTTTGCATATTGGCTTTGTAATTCAAATCCTGTGCATGGTTCTCTTCAATTCAATCGAGAATTCAATGGTGTTTAAAGCACGCTCTCTGGTTTGCTTTTATCTGTTGCGAATGAATGCACTTTAATATTTACCCTTTTGACAAGCTCGATAATTGCTTCGCATAACCCATGTACCATCGGTTCTTTATGTTCGTTTCTCTTCCACTTCTACTCCGCATCCCCCCCCCCGGGGTTCCCAAACCCAAAAAAAACGTAAACCAGGTTTTCAACATCAACAATGCGTTTCGATTGGCTAGTGATAGGTTTGATTTTTATTGTCATTTACATATGCCCTTTTCGTAAAATGGAAAAACTTTGCCCTTTAAAAGGTGACTGCTTTAGAAGAGTGCACTATGGGTTCTCCTGAAGGTCATGTCTACTTTAGGAGTATGCTTCATTTTGAAGTTTTAGCTTTGTAAGTTGTGTTTTCTTTTCACTGCCCTGCATTCTATGCCTGAAAAAGGGAGTATCTTCTATGTCCTTCTGGCCTTTCATCAGTCTGTCCTCCTTTCTGCTTGTGAATTCTCTGCAAAGAATTAGTACTGCTGAAAAACTGTATAATTGATCAATTTAAGCAGGTTAATCATTTGCATCCTTGCTCCTTTCTTGAAAGGCTATGCTAAAGTGGGATTGTGTCCTTTTTCCCTCTCTTATGCCCTCTGTTTTTGAACGTCACACGCTTAGTCTGTTTGAAATCATTTTGACGGGTTTGATGTATAATGTCTTCCAATATAATACAACTGCGAGAGTGAGTTGAATGAAAATTCTCACGTTTATCCTTCAGGCTGGATCTCTTCTTTACAACATCAACGATTCAACTTTGCATAAATTGTGCAGAATAGATGGAAGGTAAATCTAGGCATCTCCATAGAAGGCAATATTGTTCTTTTAGAGTTGGAAGATTACGTATTCTGATGTATGTTCATTCTTTTGTCAGCTTTCCTTTAGAAGAACTCCTTAAAGGAAAACGTGCTTACCTAGAAAATAAAGACGGAAGCGAGACAGACGAAGACGATGATGAAGACGATGAAGAGGCAAATGATCAGGATGATGATGATGATGGAGAAGAGGAATTCTCAGGTGAAGGTGAAGAAGAAGGGAATCCTGAGGATGACCCTGAGGCCAACGGTGCTGGAGGATCTGATGACGATGATGATGATGGTGAGGATGATGATGGTGATGATGGTGAGGATGAGGAGGAGGAAGAGGAAGAGGAGGAGGAAGAAGATGATGAAGAGGATGAGCCACCTGCCAAGAAGAGGAAGTGAGAATTGGATTAGGTACATTGTTTTCTCACCTTCCTTTGTAATGCCTAGTCTAGTTCCTAATAGAAGATTCTCCATCCTGTCGATCAGACATGATTCCTTGTGTCAAGGATTATAAATCATAAACATCTACAATTAGCGTATTCTCTTGTTATTATTTAGTTTGCTTTCATAGTTATATCCCTTTTCATTTGCCGCTACTTCATACATTGTATAAAAGAGAGACAAAAAAACAAAAACAAAAATAAAGAGACAAAAAAAACAAAATAGCTTTTGCCATTACAGGGAGAAAACAAAAAGACGAAAAAATACAGATTTCCCGAAAGGGGAAAAGATAAGAAAAAATTCATAAACAATCAGACAGTGGAGCAGTAATGGATGACCCAAAATACAAAGACCAGTAATACTTTTCATTTTTTAAAACAAAAATGGTTCTGGTGGGGTACTATTCACTCTAGTTTTTCAGCAGTGTTCAATTTTTTTAATAAATGAAATCAAATATCATCAGTTATCACTGCAAGTTTATTATGTTTTATAACTAGCCGTGCATATTAATTTTTCTCAAGAGAATCTTGTTAAAGCCTACAAAATTTTAAGATTTTTCTACGCAAAGGTACTTCCTACTTTATTTAAATGATTTTATTACATAACGTTTTTTTTTTTCTAAATTGAAATTTTCCGCCAAATATTTTAGCCTCCGCATTACCGTCAAGTCAAGTTTTGGATGCGCGTGAGATCGAGTCAATTCAGGTTAATTCAAGTGACTTTTTATGAAATTAAACAAAATGTCAAGACACAACAATTCATATAATCAGTTAAGCAATGAATTAAGCCATCACATCTCATCTCATTTTAAAGCCTGTTCAACCAATATGGCAGTGAAATGTACATAGAACTTGGCCTAAAGAAACTCAAATATAAAAGCCTAAAGTTTATTGACAATTCACTTCAAAAAGCCAATACGTGAAAGAAAATTAGGAAGCTATCTGCTTGAAGAAAGAGATACAAATGGTTCTCTTGTTGAAGGGGGAATATAAATAATATTCCGCAGCACTCTTTGACAGGAAGATGGATGCTTCTTTCCCATCAAAGTTAACCTGCAAGAATATTCATAATTATAACCCAATAATGTTACTAAAAAAGGTCACTGCATGTGTCTGTAACAACTTTATGCTGTGAAGTAGGAAATTTCGAGGATCCTTGGGCGACTTAGTGATCTATACCATGGCTTTAAATTAGGCTTTTGAAACTGAATGCTTCTAAAATGAAAACTGCATAAAATATAAACCATCAAAATCATGTTTCCGTACGGGCTGAGCGTATTATATCATAAAACAAATGGGTAGAGAATGCAAGTTTCTACAAAAGTAAATTGCAAAAGCAGTGCGACAAATAAAAATGGTCACTAGCTCACGCTTAATGATACCATCCATATTTACAACAGCAGCAAACAATACATACATTATGCATTTTGAAATTTAATCATGAGAGATTTCCAACAAGAAAATACGTATAACTGATTTTTTTTTTTTGGGACCATGTACAACTGTGATTTTGAAACCTTGATTTGAGCCTTCACTACTGATGTTACAAAGGAAAGGAGAAAGTGCAAAGTAGGGCTCATTTTATACAAGACGTCTCTCGGCTCATCTCAATTTCTGTACTACACCCATGCATGCCAAACTCAAGCGAAGGGCTATTGGCACTCAACAATACTCAGGACCCCAGGATACTTTTCCTAGCTTCTAAGATGCGTCAATAGCCATTAGTGGTATACTCTGCAAAACCATAATTGGTGTTTAATTCCGGTGTTGAGAGGAATATCGTAGTTTTGTAACCAAAATTAAGAAAACAGTCAAAAAATAAAAAGACAAAACTGATGATCTCAAACAATAATAGACAGAGGAAACCAATAGAATGTCACTTGGTGACTGAAAATAAGAACGAGGACTAGCCGGATAATTAAGAATACAAGATGCTTTAAAGTTCAAACCAGAACAACGAAATAATCATGATTAGTTCAAAAAGATTGAAATTTCACCCACTATGGCAGTTTCCCCGATCGAAAAATTGCAAACTTGGACATCTCCGAGTAAGAATACGCAATACCATTCTCCTTCAGAAAGTCCTCAAGAAGCTGCTTAGCCCTTTCAGGATCAGCACTCTCACACTCGATCTCATACAACGTTCCAAAACCAAAACTAGTCTCATCCACTTCCAATTCCAGACCCTTCCACTCATACACGCTCCTCACATTTCTAAAGCCTCCTAAGCCCACATATCCCTTCTCACCCACCACTCCAAACTCCTCCTTCACCCTCCTCAGCACTCTAGACTCCACCACCGAATCCAACCTCCCCGGTTCAGCCACGCAATCGCGACCGATCTTTGGGTCTAGATCCTCTTCATCCTCCTCCACCCGACTCACGCCGTCGACCAAGACCGCTTTAGCTTTGAGCGAAACGACACAGCGGGCGTCGTCGTCGAAGAATCGGAGCCGGAGAACGGCGCGGCGAGACGAGAGCTCCCCGGCTGCGCCGTCGAAGAACAGATTCTCTTGGCGATGGGTTTTAATGTGAAACGGAGCGAGTAAAGTCGTGACCAAACGATGAGCTTCAGCATTTCCCAACCGCAGCTTCACTTCCACCTCCATTGGGGATGATGAGGGAGGAGAAAGTAGGCGTCTGTTAAGTGCTCTGGTGGGAAAATTTAGGGTTCGTTTAGGAGGAAATACCAATGCGATGCGCTTTGGAAGAGGAATCCTTGGCGCGATCGAGCTGATGGAGAAGAGTAGCTGCGCCAGTGGTGGTGGTGGGGGTGATGGCGGCGGCGCTGCGTCTGCGAGCTTCCTCGAGTTCCTCTTTATCTTCGATCTTCACTTCGATTTTAGTTGGTCGCCTCAGCATTTTCTTGCGGAATCTGATTCTGGATGGGAAAAACACATGGTGAGATTGGCTTGTATATCTATCGTGTTTATGCTATCGCCTTTCGTTTCTGATACGTCGGGTCGGATCCCATAATTTCAAATATGCAATTCCCTGAAAATCCTAGGCCCAATTTCCGAATAGAATAATTTGAATCGAGCCTGAAAGTGAAATGCATATCTTCCCAAAAATTTTCAAATGCATTTGGAGAACATGAATGATTTTAAAAAGCTGAAAAAGGATAATTTAATTAATATTTTAGTTAATTATTGTAAAATAACTTAATATGAATTAATTAGACAAACTTACATAACAAAATTAACCCTCAAAAATCAAAATGTTCAATAATATCAATATTACGTTCCCATAGAGCAACATTACATATTTTTAAAACTTCAAGGAAAATATTGCGCTTGTCAAAAACTCAAAATACGAATTAGTAAACTTTCAAGGCGAATTTTCCATCCAAGGCCCAAAAGAAAAAAGGCGATTTTTCCATGTAACCCAACAACAACAACCATATATTCTAGCATTCAACCTGGCTTTGAACATTCCTTTCTTTTTTCTTTTTTCCTCGCCAACGGCTTTGAAAATTAATATTAAGATAATTTACAAGGGGACACTATCTCAAGGGAATATTAACTAATATATTGACAAAATGTTCTGATAAATCTCAAATGACAAGCAGGTGGAACTATTCGAACTGGAGATTGAAAATCATCATCATCATCAACCTCCCCTTTACAAGGAAAATTTCCTATAACAATTCAGCCTAGTTAACTATCTCAACAACTCACACGATAGGAGGACAGATATACTTGGGTTTTGCTGGGAGGGGTGCGGGGAAATAGCGGAAAAAGAAAGAGTGGGAAGTACAAGAGAGTTAAAAGAGCAACAACACAGACATGGTAGAAGGACTTGTTTTCTGTTTGTTTTTCTTCTTTGGCCATTTATATATCGAAATTACAGGTTACCCTCGTCGCAATCAAAGTTCATATCTTGAAGATCAGGCCACCGTGGGTAGCGAAGAAAGGAGCAAACACAAGAGACTCGACAGCCATGAGCTTGATCAGAATGTTAAGCGAGGGTCCAGATGTATCCTTGAGAGGGTCACCAATGGTGTCACCAATAACAGCTGCTTTGTGTGGATCTGACCCTTTTGGACCAAGTGTTCTTGCATGTTCAGTAGCACCAGCCTAATAAATCACACAGTCACCCAAAAAAAAAGAAATTGAAAACATGAGACCATATAATAATAAGCCATATTTTGTTGCCAAAAATGCCCAGTCAAATCCTCACCTCAATGTATTTCTTGGCATTATCCCACGCACCACCAGTGTTGGAAGCTGAGATAGCAATCTATTTACACAGTTCAATATGAAAATGAGTTTAAAACAAACATGGAACTCAAAAGCTGCCTGCCATGGACGATATATGACTGTGATGGTAGAAAATATGGTGAACCTACCTGTACGCCAGATACAAGGGATCCAGCAAGAACACCAGATAGCGTTTCAACGCCAAAAATTATTCCAACGATGAGAGGCGTAAGCATGACAAGAGCACCAGGGGGGATCATCTCCTTAATGGAAGCATCAGTGGAGATCTTCACACATGTGGCATAGTCAGGCTTGGTGGTTCCCTCTAACAAACCTGGCATGGTGTTGAATTGCCTGCGTACTTCCTCAACCATCTTCAAAGCCGCCTTTCCAACACTCTTCATGGTCATAGCAGAAAACCAGTAAGGAAGCATAGCGCCCACAATTAAACCAATAAAAACCTTCGGAGTCAGCACATCAACAGTTGAAATAGCAGCTCTGCTCACAAAAGCACCGAAAAGTGCAAGAGACACCAGGGCGGCAGAACCAATTGCAAACCCCTACACAGCAGAAGAACAAGAGATCTCAAGTGTCAACCAAAAAAACTAATATTTCCACCGAACAAAAAGGAATCTGAATGAAAATCCAAACCTTTCCAATAGCAGCAGTTGTGTTTCCTGCGGCATCAAGAGCATCAGTCCTCTCTCGAATTCTGTGACTCATGCCTGCCATCTCAGCAATACCACCAGCATTGTCACTGATTGGACCATACGCGTCAATGGCCAAACCAGTAGCTATGGTACTCAACATCCCAAGTGCAGCAACTGCAATACCGTACATGGCAGCAAAGCTGAAACTAACAAAAATGCCAACTGCTATGGCAAAAATTGGAATGATGACAGACTTGTATCCCAAGGCAAGGCCAAATATAACGTTGGTAGCAGCACCAGTCCTGCAGGAGTCTGCAACGTCTTGCACAGGGCTGCAGCAACAATAAAAAGAGCTAATGAAACCAACACCTAAAGAATCAGATTAAAAAAAAAAAAAAGCAAAATGGCCCAAAAGGGCCTACCTGTAAGCATTGCTGGTATAGTACTCAGTCACAAATCCAATAATTAGCCCTGCCCACAGACCAACAGCAACACACAAAAATAGCTGCCTGCAAATCAAAACCATTTAAATGAGTCCTCAGATAGGAGAATTAAATGCTACTTTCCCATTTGTATGCCAGATTTTAGATCAGACCTACCACACCAGATTTTTTCCCAGATCTAATTGGAATCAAATTTACTAAATCCAGTTTGTACAGATCAATATGTCCTGTATTTAGTGACTAATCAAATTGATTATAACATCACAATATCAGAGAAATTGTTGCATGGGAGTACCAATTATCAGTCAAAAGAGCAGTCAGATGAAGTTACTTGGGAAATACGTTATGTAAAATCTGTGACGAAGTTCATCCGGTCATTAAGAATATAACTACAAACTGTAATCCCCCCCAATACCCACAAGTAATGCCGACCCCATCCCTTTCAATGATTCCTACATTAAGAAAGTGATTGCTAAAGGACTAACCAATTCTTCACATCTTTCTGGTCTCCGAAGTTGAATATAGTGAAGGAAGATGGAAGTGCAATCCAACTAGCAATTGCAATCCCAATAGTCATCAAAACAGTGGAAATAATGAGTTGTTTTTTCAATGCTGGCTCAATTTCCTTAACAGTCTTTATCTCAAAGAAGTCAGTTGCAAATAAGGTGGTGAGCAAACAAACAACGATTCCCACGGAACTGATAATGAGAGGAAACAACATTGCAGTCAACTCATGATTCACCCCAAATGAGGAGATGGAGGCAACAACTAGAGCAGCACAGGATGATTCGGCATATGAACCAAAAAGGTCAGATCCCATTCCAGCTATATCACCAACATTATCACCAACATTATCTGCTATCACCTGAGTACACAAAAGTTTGTTCAGATATGGGATGAGTAGACAGTAAGGCGAAACATTAGCATATCTTTCCCTCCAGTTCTATTTATAGAATATTTTTAACCAAGTAATAAAAATTAAGAAAGATAGTTAAAATAGTTAAGTCTTAATTTAGTAAAAAATTACTATAACATTTTCAAATTACCCTTAACTAAATCTATTAACTTGTACCTTTGAATCTTAAAGCCAAAATTGAACCAATTAGATATGTGAGCATTTTTGGAAATATTTTACAAATGCTTCACTAGATTTTATACAGTGTTTTATGATAAGAATCAAGCGGAAATTCTAGAACAACCTTATAGTAAGGATGGGATGGCGCAATAAAAGGGGAGAGACTAACTTCAGCATATTCGTACTTACAGCTGGATTTCTTGGGTCATCCTCAGGAATGTTTCTTTCAACCTTGCCAACAAGGTCGGCACCAACATCAGCGGCCTTAGTATAAATGCCTCCACCAACTCTGCCAAACAGAGCCATAGAAGACCCACCCAGACCATAGCCAGTGATGGCCTCGAAAAGACCACTCCAGTCATCACCATAGTAAAGCTTGAACAAGTTGATAGCAATGTACAGAACCAAAAGACCATTTGCAGCTAGGAGAAATCCCATAACTGCACCAGATCTAAATGCAGTGATGAAGGCCTTCCCAACGCCCTTTCTTGCCTCCAGTGTGGTTCGTGCGTTGGCATAAGTAGCAATTTTCATCCCAAGGAAACCAGAAATAACTGACGTGACTGCACCAAGCACGAAAGATGCAGTGCTGAAAATCGCAGTTGCAAGAGCCGGCTTACACATTTTAGTTTTGTCATAGGTGCAAGGTTGTTGGCTTGTACTGAATCCCTCCACAGAACCAAGGAAAAGGAATATCAAGATTGCAAAAGCCACCATGAAGATTCCCACATACTTATATTCGGTGAAGAGAAAAGACGTTGCCCCTGCAATATCAGAGCACCAAGATAGAAGTGAACCAAGCTTTTAACCTTCCGTTAAAAAGCACAAGCAATCCATTTCCTCTTCCACATACTCATAAGCAAATTTTCACGAAAAGGACGAATTACATGTTTCAAATTATAATATTCCCAGACTACGAGCTTTTTTTTTAGAAAAAAATAAAAGTTGACATGAAAAACGGGAAAAAGAAACTTCTAAAGAATTAAATTTCAAACCAGTTATCTCAATTTTTATACAAGTTCTCCCTCATCTCCCTCCCTCTCCCTTTCCCCTCTCTATCACTGTTCAACATCACGAATTTTCTTTTCCTCTTGTCTTTCTCTTTTCTGTTCAGTATCCCCTGAGAAACGACTCGAAACTCATTTACCCAACAAGCACTGGAAGAATCACATAACTGATATTGCAGATAATAGAGCCATCTCATATAATGTAAGAAAAAATCGCGAGAATTGGCTAAAAAAATCTACGGCAGTCTGACGTTCCCTGTGTATGAAAAATAGCGAATAAAAAGTGAAGGGGGAAAAACGGTGGGGAAAAAAAGATCGAACAAATTCTAATTGTGAATTATGATAATTGGAAGCGTGGGTCCAGATTCCATTTCCCGGACCTGCCTCCATCGTCAATTAAAAAAAAAATTGAAATACTACAGTGATGGCATCATGAAGGGTTCATTGTGAACGCCATCTAGGCCGTCGAGATATCTCTAGAGTGTTTCAGATTTCGCGCTTTTATGGAATTAGAAACCCAAAAAAAAAAGAGAGAAATTATAGCAAAGAGCCAACGAGCATTGATTTCTTTATACCAAAAAAAAAAATGATTATTGAATTCAATGCTACCGAACTTCGAGGCACCAGAAATGACGTAGAAACCAAGTAAAGCTCAAAATTTCAAGCGAGCTTTCTTCGTGGCATATCAAGCACGACACCGGAATGAAAATTGAAATTCACTGCTTCGGAAGTAAAAAATACACACGCCGAGATCTACTCATGAGAACAATTATGAAACATCTCAAGGAAAAAGAATCAAATTAATGACAAGAAAACTCAAACAGAGCATCAAAGGAGAGAAAGAAACCTTCTGATATAGCGCCCTGAATTTCAGCACATTTTATGACGACACTGTGGTCGTTGATCCCTTCCTCTTCTTCGATGAGATAATCATTGTACCCATTCTTGCTATTCGGAGAACTGTCGCTAGAAGCAGAGAGCTTGACTCTTGAAACGAGAATCCACTGAAACAAAGCGAACCCAATTCCGATAACAGCACATACCGGAATCAGAATCTCGGTTCCGAGATCGGGGAGAATCGCCGCCACCATGGCCAAGCGCCAACAAGGGAGTTGAGCTTTGAAGCGGGGAAAAGGCACAGTCTAGGGGAGTGAGAAAGAATGTGTGAATGCTAAGCTGGTTGGAGAGGAGGGTCTAATATAGAATGGGAGGAGAGAGAAAGAGAGAAGGAAGAGATAGGGATCGAGAATGATGAGGGACAAAGGAAGGTGTGTGGTGGAGAATATAAAATTGTAAAATCAGAAGGATAGGATAGCTAATTTCTAATTTTGCTATTCCCAAATCTTGATTTTTCACCTTTCCGTGCTTTCTCCTTCTAATATGGAAATGAGAAAGTAATTAATTTAACTACTATTGGTCTTATTATTATATAGAGTCTTCATTTTTATATTTAAACTATTTATACTGTTAATTATATAAAATATACAACTAACAATAATATATTATTCATAAGTAATATGCTAACTCTAAATTTCATATAGTATATGAACAAAAACGTGTCTTATTATCAATTTATCAATCATAAACAGCCCTAATAGATTAAATTAGTCAAATTACTATTTTAATTAAGTGGGTAACATTTGGTACCCATGATCCCATTATATTACATGACATTGTATAATGCATGATGGATGTAGTTATACCGAAGCAAGATTCAGAATGAAACAATTGCCCCCCGAAAATAGATACAGAAGAGGAACTTTTTTGTTTTGTCCTTTTTCATATTTAAATAAATAATTTATCAAGATACTAAATTATAAATTCTTGATAAGAGATGTAGACAGGTAAAATATCACTGTCAAGCAAAAATATGATAATCAAATTTTAATTAATGGGTAATTTTTTCTATTACATGATTTTCAAAAAATGATGTCCGACAGTATTCTATGTGAATATATTTAAATACTCCATCACATATTAAGATTCACTGTGTAGTTAAATTGTTTCATTTACAATTTATGAGCCCAGACAGCCTTTTGTATATTGAATATATTTTATAGTATCTTTTCTTTCTTTGTTTTGTTGTCACATAAAGTTTAGATAAATTGGATCACAATCACTCCTTAAGGTCAGAATATGATTCAAGGCCTAAAAAATTTATAGTATTTTTTCTAACTCAATTAAAATGTGCGTGTATAATATATATATATATATATATATTAAAATAGAGAGAATTACATACAAAGACAATAGAAAATACAAAATCCCAAATCAGCATTCCTTATAACAATTTAACATGTTTCGTAAATAACAACATATTTTTGTGAACGTCTTAGATTTGTAATTTCGTAATTTTCCCATTAAAATACTGACTGATAGCATAGTCGTATTAAATTCTTTTTGTTTTTTTTGTGTGCCAGTAGTCGTATTAGATTCGACCTTATAAAATTGCACGAGAGAGATATGTGCACAAATTAGCTTCTAATATGTGTATGGGCATATGAAAAGAATATATTCCTTTAAGTAAGCTTAGAAAATTTAATTTATCAATAATAATAAAATTATATTCAAGGAGCTGCTCTACCCTCACTTAAGCTTAATAATTCTCAAGTCTAAGAAGATCACATGCTAGATAAACACATAAAGAGAAAAAGGAAAAAAGAAAAGTTCCCTGAGCTCATCCCATGAAGAATCAAACTTTAACACTTTTTTTTTTCAATATAAAGTATTATTCCTACACTTTTTATCATGATAAATATATTGCGGTTGAAGTGTACAATTTTAACAAGAAAATGAAGGTAAGAAACCAAGAATATTAGGTCCGGCAGCTGAATAAAAAATTATTTATTAAATATAAAGGAACCAAAGGACCGGCCATGGATTTAGAACGGAACACGTAAATGTTAAGTCATTAAAATAGTAAATGTCAAAAAATGACACGTTTACTACGAGTCTACAAGGAACACTGCGTATTTTTAAAATCATTTAAATTGCTCTCAACAAAAAATTATTTAAATAAAAAAACTTTGATGACAACCGACAATGACGAATTTTGTTTGACCAATAATCAATCAACAATTTGTAACAATAACTCAAACAAGAGAGAATTCAGGTCAAAAAACAACAGAGGGGATTATTAATTGAGCAATAAATGGTGATTTCCTAATGAAAAGTCGTAATTTTACAATTGATACATATATAGCATGATTGATTATGCATTATAAATTTGAAATTATTAATCAACACAAAAAACACAATACAAAAATAAAATCAATTTTTTTTTAATTTCTACGTCGTTATTTATTTTAATATTTTCCTTCCCGTGTATTTTTATTTGGATATTATTATTAGCATGTTGCATTTAATTAACAAAGTTGTTCATGTTTAAACCCAAAATAAATGTGAAGGAATTAGGCAATGGATATGGATGAACCCAGACCCGGATTACTCAATCCAATGGTAGCCCACACGTCATATTTAATACTGGCCTGCGTCTTGATCTTATCCTTTCATGTTGACGTTAATATTCAATGACCAGCTTGGCACCATCCTTTCCCAATTAATAAACACTCCCGTACTGTCAAATGCCCATTCGTTAATTTTTTTTCCAGGTTGAAAATGAAGTTTAGATAGTACTAGTATAATATATTTCAGAAATTCTTTTTCCTTTTCTCATAACTTATCTTTTATAAAAAATTTGAACTGAGTATTACCTCTATTTTTTAATATAAAAATTTATTTGATTTTTATTTTAGTCCTAAATATAAGACCCTAATTATTCTGTCTCTCATATTTATCTATTTTTTGATATAGTCCTTATAATAATGGTAATACACTTCATAAGCAATGATGTTTTAGAAAAGACAACATCTATTTATTACGAATAATTAACTTAATCAATTTTTATAATCTATTCAAATTAGTCAACTAGTTCTTATATTAAGAACAAGATAGTATTTTAAATCTCATTAAAATGAAAATATTAATTATTTAATCTTTCAATTTTCAACTCTTCTCCAAATAAATTGACTATTGTTCTGTCATCAATCTCTGTGGTGCTGCTTAGGATGCATAGGATTAAAATTATAACCAATGATAAGAACTGAATTATTAAAAGAATTAAATTTGAGTAACTTAGTCGCAATGAGTTAATCTTAAGAGATTAATGTACAATCAAATTAAAAGTTGAAGGACTAAACTGAACAACCAGGTGTTATCACCGAGTGAGGTACTTAATTATTAACACGACATCGTACGGGATACGAGGAGCTAATACACACATTTGTTGCATATTTTTATCGCAGAACAGTAACTATGTGCAAATTTTTGTCATAGCTTTGAATAATATTTTTTTAAAAAGTTTTTTGGGTTGATGTCTCAAATATATTGATGGTGTATAATAATCATGTGTTTTGATTTTTGTATAATATTTTATAAGATGGGAAATATGACCAAACGTATGTTTTTTTTTTTTTTCCTTGGTGGTTGCAGAAACGTGTGTCATATTTATTTTAGGGAAAATTGGGGAGAGGGACCTGGTGGCAAAAATATTTATGGGGAAAGACCTTAAAAATTTTATTTACTTGGAAAGACCAAATACTAAAATATAAATTTAAAATTACGAATCTGCCCTTAACAAAATTTCATATATTATCTCTCACCACATCCTATAATTTTCTTTTTTTAACAAAATAATTAAAATTTATTCAAATTAATTCAAACTACTTGGAATTATTAAGTTACAAAACAACTCTAACTAATCAAATCAAATTCAATTAATAAGTAACACTAAGTAATTTATTCATCCATCATTTTCGAAAAATAAAACTCTTTTCTTGGGCTTCCTTAATAATAATGAGCCAATCAAAATCATATAGTTGAATTAAAAATTAAAAAAAGTGATACAATAATAAATAATATATAACTTATTGATAATTAATAAGAATAAAAAAACCATGTAGCTTTGAACTTGAATTTTCTTACTCAAATTATTATAACTACTTTTACTATGACAAATATTTATTGGTATAATGAATTTCTTATGTCACTTTTTATTTTAAATTTTTTAATTTTATTCAGTAAGAGGATTCAACTTATTTAAATAAAATAATAGCACGAAATCGATAAGCAAAACTATGAAACAAATTTTTTTTTCTATGAATGGTAGAACTTTACTATCATACTCATTTTTCAGAAAGCCTACGACAAATTGTTAATTAAAAATAATTAAAAAATAAATTAATTAGTGTTGGCTATTAATTTAATTCATTAGAATCAGTGTCTGACTTTGAAATTTAAATTAGTTTGAATTAATTCAAATAAATTATAATTATTCTATAAAATGATATGAAAATTATGGGACGTGGTGAGAGAATATAGGGATTTTGGTGAATAGGGGTAATTTCAGTCTTTTTAAGTTTATATTTTAATATCTGGTCCATTTAAATAATTAAGGTTTTTAAGATCCTTTCTAATAAATATCATTTCTAGTTTGTCCCTCTTTCTAATTTTCCCTTTTTTTTATGTAATTATATATGCTCTGATAAAGTAGGCTTCTTATTTTTAAATCTAGCAGTTTCTTAAAAACTATTGAAGCTTATCTCTCCTGATATTTTTAGATGATTCCCCTGCTTAACCAAAGTTAATAAAATAAAAATAATAAGAAAATGTCAATCAATGAAACATAAACAAGAGAGAAAGAGAGGAGGGGGGGAGATTAACTTTAAATCTCTTGATTTTCTTCCAGCATTGATAGTGTTAATTCTAGAGAAGGGTTAACCTACATGCGAACTAGAACGTCCGAAACTTAATCTATACGTAAAATATTATCATGTTGCCAATGAACAAATTTATTGATTTTAATTACATTTATTCTCATTCTTTCTGATCTCTTTTATTAATTTTTTTTTCTCATGTCATATGTTTACTCTCTCGTCGGAAAAAATATTTTGCACTAAGGATATGACTCTACGAGAAGTGGGATTCACAGATTTTGGGCTTATTTATAGTGATTTGTAAAATACTATATAAATATTTAAAAATAATTTTATCTCAATTTACATAAACTGTACTTATAAATAATTATAAATACGATTTCAATATGTTTTTTTAGTTAAAATTTTTTTTTCCTATATTTTGTATATCTAATTTTATATTGATCTCTACTCATAAAGGATAAAAAATTTTATTGGCAT